TACTGTACTCCCGGTCGCGGTTGAAGCTTTCGCAAAATCAAGAATGATAAATAATTGCGACCACACTAGGAGTGCTCTGATTCAAAATCTGAAATTGAGTCATGCACCCAAGGCGTTCTTGAGTTACATCAAGTGAGGTGACCAGATGTTCTGTTTCCGTGTAAAAAGGAGATTATCAAAGGTCAACATGATGTAACTTTTTCATCCTTTTCATGATGCTCTATATGCAATATTAAGTGAGGCATTAAATCCAGAGGGATGACTGGAAAATAATCCTCTCTCTCATCCTTTTGACTCCCCATTCATCTCCTTACTTCTGCTGAACACATAATAACCTCACATCCCAAGTGTTCCACCCAAATAAATCTAAAGAGAGTTTTTTTCCACATCCATTTCGGAATAGTAACCTTTGAGCTTCAGGTCTGCAGGGATAAACACTTTCACAAGGATGAAATTCATTTCAAACTTCCACATTCATCTTTCCATATGCAGTCTAAAAAGGGAGAGCTCCTTTCACTTTTCTGCTGGACTAGCTTTAAGTTTGAATCAGGGAAAGGATTTTCTCTTGTTGTGCATGATTAGTAGGGATAGGTAAAGAAAAAATGAAATAATGAAAAGTCCCCCCATTGAGGAATATCTTCAATACCTTTTGAGTGCTTGGCTTTAGGCCTCCCAAGACAAATATCCTGAAGGAGGCTTTGTGTTCAGAGACAACAAGGCATAGTCATCCCAAATTATCCCAGGCAATAAACATCACTCTTGGCCTTCCTGATAAAAATATGATTACTACCTATAAAGCCAGTATTTTCTCATCCAATCCTCCTTAGACATCACAAATGCAATTTAGGGAGAAAAAATTGACATAGTGAAGCTCTACATATATTGACTACAGCTTCACCCAAGACAATCATCCACAATTGCCCCATTTGAAAAAAGGCATAAAAACCAACATGGATCCAGCTCCACCCAGCAAGGTCAAAAAAAACCAATGAAAACAAGCTCCTTTGCTAAGAAACTTTTAATTCATGGCTCAAACTTGTTCCAAGCAGATGCAGTCTTGATGCAAAAGATTGATAGTTGGTTCATAGAATTGGAAAATAAGCTAGGACGTCAATGGGATGAGACACAAAGTCTCACAAACAAGATATTCACACCCATTTGGGTGATCAGAAATACAAGACTAAAACTTTTCATGGGTTTTGTTGCCTGCCTGAAGCTGATATGCGTTCAGTCTACTCAAGGTTCAGTAAACATGACTATTGAGTGCTGGAGATATATCTTGAATATATTTCATGAATGGAAAAAAATTGATCTGGAAGACATCTTGAAAGAAAAGAAATCTGATTTGGGTAAGGCAGTTCAAGATTTCAATTCACATTCTTTGTTGAGATATTTGATAAATTGAACAAGGGAACACATCTTTCAATCCAATTTTACTTCAATCTTTGTAACAAATGGGCCAAATAAGCTGGTGGAGCTCACACCTTCCAAAATATGGATCTAAAAAAATCCAAAAAAAAAGTAGAAGATGGCTGTAAATCTTGGACAAGGTGTCCTGATCAGTCATCAAGGCCATCAAATGCCCAACATCTATGGAAAAGCTGATAAGACAAACCCAGAGAATATTTTTACAGGGTCCAAAAATGCTAACCAAATTGGCACAGAAGATAAAATCAAAAATCAGTCTATCAATCAGTCCAGAAACACCCTTTAAGAAGTTGAAAAGGTAAGAAAAGAAATAAGTAAGTCATCAACACAACTTCTTTAATTCAATTTATGGCTTACAAAACTTTTGAAAGAGGCCTGAGATAACATACATGTCAAAAGTGTTTGAAATTCCCATCATCAATCTGAATTACCAAACAGCCCTCATGTGGCCTAGTAAATCAGTAGCTTCATATTTCTTAACAAGTATAGTACTTTTACATCCAAATTGCTCAATAGAAAAGCTACATTCTCAGGTAAAAACTTCTTGAATTTTCTTATAATTCAACACTTTGTGATTATAGAAAAAGTTCACTCCACATTTTTTTCCGAATTTTAAACACCTTTCATTGAAACTTTCTTCAACTTTGAAGTTTTCCCAAAAAATCATTAAAGAATTAAAAAACAGACCTCACTTCTCTATGTTTTACAAATAAGTCTTTTTCATATTCACTTTTTGTGTTCTTTTTGGTTTCACAGTTTTATTGCTTTGAGATACAAGACATTCTTGCATTTTTTTTAAAAAATCACAAATGTGATTACAGATATAGAAAGTAAAGAAAAGTAAAGTAAAGAGAAATTCAATTCAGTATATGATAGGATAAGATGCTCAAGTTCAAAAAATGTAAAAAATCAAATCTCCATTATGTAGAATAAAGTTTTCAAGGTACCAAAATCTTTCTTTAAACATAAAAAACCTCTCTTCAATACCTCCCACTTCTTCCCTCAAATGATATAAACCAAAAAAGATAATTAACATTTCAACAAAACAGACGAGAAAAACAAACACACACACACACAATTCACAACCTAATCCCACCATTCCCACCCTGAATCCCCAAAAAAGAAAAGAGAAAAAAGAGAAAAAAAAGATCAAGCAATAAAACAAAAAAGAATTCTAAGAAAAAAAAAATAAAACCCCAAACCTTTATTCTAAGTTGACTAATAACACTTTCTACCTAATCATCATCCAACGTTAAATCAATACAAACCGAATCCTGATGACTTTGATTACTTTTAACCCTTTTCCTACTACTCCTAGCATCATCTTCATCATCATCATCAATTTCCAAAACCATGACATCTCTTTTATTATTCACTTTTGATTTTTCATTTCCATTTTGATTTTTCTCTATGGGTGTTGATGTTGATGAACTTGATGGTTTCTTAACTCCTACTTTAGCTGATGTTCCATACTTGTAATTTTCATCATGCCATGTTCCATCTGCTTCAATTATAACTGAATCCATTGAACTTGGCATGATTTGTAAAATCGATTGCATATATCTATAATAACATAAAGAAATGATTAGTCAAAATACTTTGAAAGAAGATATTAAAATCAAATGTGTTAAAGACATACCCATCAACAGCCAATTGTTGTGGATTGAGTTTCGTATTACAAACCGGACACATCCAAGTAGGGGTTTGTTCCATCATGGAATAAAAAAATTCTGCATCAAAACATTGTAGATGTGTACATTGCAGAGATCGAATCGGTAAACGAATTCGACTTAAAACGAGCTATATATGATTTCACAAGATAAGTTCTAGATCAATCGAGATCGTCATCAACAAGAAGAGTAAAGCGATGGAACTTACAGGATCAACTAAGGCAACTACAGAGGATGAAGTGAAAACATCATCGTCCCCAGAACCAGCCAAGACTGTAAATAAAAGATTCAAGATCAGGTCTATTATCTCTTTAATTTTCGAACATCAACAATCTTCATACGTACTCTTAGCCAACACTTCTTCTTTAGTTTGCTGTTTACTAGCCTTCAAATTCTTGATCAAGAGCGGAATTGAGAAATGTTCAACAAGATAAACAATGACATAATATTTCTAAATGATGGAAAACCTCGAATCAATAACAACCTCTTTGTAAATCAAGATTGAATCATCAAATAAACTCAACTCGGTCAGTATTAGTATAAATCACATCTATCCTATTCGTTCCATATTCTTTTATATTGATCACAGAACCATTACCAGTAGAACCTAAATCTGGTGGAGGTGCTGTACCAGGTTGATTCTTCAATCCTCTTACATTTGCAGGAATCGTAATCGAATTACATTTTAATTCACATGTGGTCGGAAATTCAATGGGTGCAGGTGGTAGGATTGGTGCATGAGGTGCATTGTATTGTGGATGATTGAAGTGTTTTTCTGATGTACAAAATAGTCTTAATCGATATTGTGGATTACTCGAATTCGCTCTTGAATTTATAAATCAATTTCTTATGAGCTGCAGTTTGTTTTGAAAAAACGCGAAGAGTTTGGAAGAAAGACGTCTTACTGTGATTGCGATAATTTGCTTCGTTGATCTTGTGATATGGTAAGTGTAATTGAAATTGACTTCCGATCGTTTTGAGCTGCTTCTATGCGATATGTTATAAAATCATGAAGTTGATGAGAAATACCCAATCAGTCAGTATAAATCAATTCTACAGCCAAATGATATCCTTTCTTTCTTCCGATTTCACGTTCTTTTGAGAGATGAATTTGACCTACTATGACAAATTGCAATTCCAGAAGCAGCAGAATCAAAGCGATAAAAAGGTGAGCTTTCAAATGGTAAGGGAAAAGATTTTGGTTGAGATGTAACAGGAAGATGCGCTCTTCCTGTTGATCCCAAAGGATTTGTACCAAACGAAGGGTGATGAGGAGCAGGTGGAAGCGACCGCTTGAATCCAGCTGAAGAGGAGGCCGAAGAGGGTGGATTTGGAAACGCGTTTCGTGACGACATACTAGGGTTTCCCACAGCGGGATCAGTCTTGAATCGAAAAGCATCATAGCTAGCGAGACGCGCTAACGAAGTAGAGCCGTAATCGGTCACCGGTGCAGGTGCTCGATTGGCCATTGGATTGGGGGAATGTGTTGAATAGTGATGATTTGATGATGTCGATGGAATAGGTGCTGGTCTTGGAATATTAGGAGGTCTGTTGTGCGGAGTTGGTACGGCTGATGCGGCTTGTCGAGGAAAGATGAGTGATCGAATGGTATTATATCTTTCTTTGGATGAAGTTTGAATCGCGTCTAAAAGTTGATCCTCGATTCTCATTACCAAATCATCTGAAACATTGAGTTCGAGTTTGTTACGGTAAGCGGTTTGATGATTGATTCAAATGAAGAAACAAAAGATCAAATGAAAAAAGTCAGTAATTTTATAAATAAAAACCAATGATAAGATGTCTCCCAGGAGACCTTCAAATTTCAAGTTCAGCGGACACAATCGCATGAAGCAAACCGGCGGATTTTGATCCTTATCGTGGGAAAGTGAAACAGGGCTAGGTAAATTCTGACCTTTTCGTCCGGTAAGTCTAGTATAAGCTCCAGGAATTGAACGATTGATACCTCTGAGGATGTCCTTGAGATCATCGACCCTGAGTGAAGGAAGATGAAGTTTCAATTTCTGATAAAGAAGTGATTTAATAAAGTTTTGGGAGTCAGTCAGATGAAATAGAAAAAAAAAGAAACAGATCGCTTGAGATTAGAAACTTGAGAATATGAAGAAGAAGAGAATCAGTTTTCATTAGGACTGACTGACACTAAAGTCAGCAAAAGGTTCACTCATACTATCTATCTTTTACGGATATTCCAATGATGATGATGATGTTCTTGGTGGGTTTGAGGTTGAGGTGGATTATTAAAAAAATTAAATGATGATTAATGGAAGATTCCCTTCGATTTGGTCAACAGAACACCCAAAACGGTCAACAAGGAAAATAAAAAGTAAAAAATAAAAAAACCTCTCTAAACCCATCTCACAAAGGAAAACCCCTCTAGACGCATGAGAAAACCACCATAATCCCATAAATTCGTCCATAAAGCCATGAATGGGACAAAAGGAATTTCAAATTTCTTTAAAGGGCTCAATTGCTGAGCGGAGAGCCAAGTGAGTATATGCACATAGTACACAGAAAAGCCTCTTACATAAGCTCAAGATGCTCACTGATTCGCACGGATTTTCAGAAGGCTTGAGCTTCAATCTGCCTCAATGCGCAGCTGTATGGCTTCAATTTTACCTTGATTTGGGAATTAAAGATCCCCCCAGAAAAGCATCAAAGTGTCTCTGAATGTGTGACTCAAAGTTACAGCCTAGATATAGGCAACCTCCACCATGGAAGCATATATGTACTAGAAAACATGACTGACTCATTCACCTTTGTTGACTGATAGGTGTTAAACACAAACCAAATTTATGCACTCCAAGATTGCCTGGATTGCACAAATCCAGTCAGCACGATGTTACATATAGAGGAAAATTGGTGACTTATAGATAAGAACATGAATCAGTACCATGAGATTGGTTTTGATTGATTATAAGTGGATAGCTCAATGTTCAAAGATTTATAAACCAAAATTATATTCAATCCGTTCTCAATTTCCCACATGATTACTTGTTGCCAAAACATAGATCTGATTGTGAACAAGCTCTGAGGTCAAAAGAAGATAACAGGCCAAGGAAATTGTAAAAGGTGGATCAAAATTGTATCAACAGGCATTCTTTATTTTATATGCTGAGACCTGCCAAAAAGTTATTTCATCAAAATAAGTTCCCGATACGAGTTGAGAGTTCTTTGTCTGACATTTGTTGACAATCCTTTCAGCAATCTCGGCAACCACACTACACGTTAGGGATACCCTGCCTTCATCCTACAGAGGAAAAGCCGTCACATCAATCAGATTCACTATTATTAAAATTTATGAATACCATAAGGAAAATTTTGAACAATTATGAGGAAGCTTACAAAAGGGCAAAGCTCAATCACTGAGCTATTGACGCACTCTTTCATAGCACAACCCCCAGCCATCTCACAAGGTCCACCCCGGCGTTGCATGCTAGCTATTGCAGTCTTGATATCTTTCAAGTTTGCTTTGTTTTCTGGTCTTTTTGAATTTCGTGGATTACAACTGATCTGATGGAGTGATGTTTATACATCACACGTAAATATATATGCCATATTTCTACCCAAGCGCTTAAAATTTAAATCACGTCTAGCAAGCAAACGACTCACGAGTTCTTCGACGGTTGTGTTCGGGGGATTAACAATTGCTCTGCTTTCTATAAGCTTAGTATGGTGATCCGAACTTGGAAGAATCTTTGACAAAGTCGTATTGACAGTGTCATTCGCTGGATTCGGAAGCCGACTACAAAAAACCTATTGATGGAAAATATGGAAAAACTTAAGCTGATCTGATTATGTTTCATGTTACTTATGACTGATTCTGAATCCTCACCGTGGATAAAATCGTGAGTGCGAGAAAAATAGAAAGGCAGAATTTCATTTTGTAAACCTCAATTGATGATAACGCAATGGGTGTCAAATCTCAAAGACTACGACTTTGATGTAGTGAGCGAGGCAAACTCTGCGTAGTAAAGCGGGCTTTTATATACTACTTGACTGTCTGGGCAAGCGTCGAAAGAATGCAGGGTTACGTGTAGCCCTCGATCGAGTCGCATTTCTCCATCTTGCTCTTCATGATGACTCTCAACGTCCGTTTCGTCATTTGAGATAAGCTGTAGGCAGCAGAGACTGACCAATTTGTCAGTGTGCACCCCGAACAATAGTTCAAAGAGCCACTTTACCAAGCGAAGCACACAGTGCCTACCTCATTGATATATTTGACCTCACATTTCTTTCTTGGCGGAACACTAGCCAGTGAACTAACTTCTTACGTTAGCCAAATGTCAATTATCTCTGGCTAGATTATGCCCTACTTGTCGCTTAACTGTGCAAGAGAATCATATAGCTTCCTCAAGGGAATCAACAGTTGGGATCTTCTTTCGGCAACAATGATGATAGTCTCATTAATCTGTTCACGAAATTTCCATCACGTTGTCCCTTTCAGTGTTTTCTCCGAACGCATTTGTATGTTTCTTGAGTGCAAACTCATTAACTTCTTTCTCTAGATGAATCCATATCATCTTCTACATGCGCTCATGTGATTGAGTCTGAGTAAGGAACTCAAGGGCTGACAAACGGTTCAAAACGGGGCTTGACCAATTGAAACTAATCATAATAATCCAAGACCCACTCTTGAAATTTCATCTGACTCCCTCTAATTTTCCTGTGGGTTTAACTTTGAGAGACAGATTAGATTATTTCAATAATCAAAAAAGCCCAGTAGACAGACTACACTCACTGTCAGGTCTTTTGAGCGTGTAGTTTTCCCTGCCCAAAATACGTGTTGTCTAATGCGAAAGGGTGCCCGGATGTCATCACGGCACTTAGGACAGCTAATCCGTCCAGAGCTCTTTTCTTCATAGTACTGATATTTCAAAAACATATCAGCTTTTCCAGTTGAAGTTGGTTCAAAAACAAGTTTCTCAGGGACTTTCCTTCCAACATTTGTAATGATATGCATGTCTTCCACCGCATTGAAGCCACACTACACGTTGTCCCCAAAAGCAATCAGATAGGCATATAGCACAATCTGCACCACCAGGATCTTTTATGGCTTCCCTTTGAGGATTTTTGACACTATATTCATTGTCTATTCAGATGGAGAGAATTGATACAATGCCAGTGATTATATACATATCCCAGAATCAATGTGATCCAAAGCAGGAAAATTCGGTTATTTTGCATTGCCTTGCTTGAATAGATTTTTTTTACTGGAAAAACATACCCTTGTTTTGAAGATGAAAATCAAGAAACTGCTTAGAACCCATTATATCAGAGCTGGCCCTGTATATGATATTGAGCAAGAATGACTTGTCCTTGAGATAGACTTGAAGTTCTTCTCCTTCTGGTAAATAGTGTTCTACATTTGAATGAGAAAGATCTAGTGTTGGTGCCCCTTGAGAGTCCCATCCCACTTCATTTCCATGAGCTAGTGCTTCTCCTTCTCCTAATTGTGATTTTGAGCTTGATCCTGTTTCTGATCTCATTTTTGCTCTGTTCTGTGCTCCTTCTTCTATCGCAAACACACCAATTATGTACGCATAATGATCCAAGGTTACAGGTTTGTGCTTTGAGAAAGGTGAAAGCAGGAGTGAGATATACGGGTCCACCTTGTGACTTGATAGGAAACTATCAATATCCTGTCTCAGAGAGATCCACCTAGATATTCTCTGAAGAAGTTCCTTCAGCAAGGGGTTTTGTGAGTATTCTAGTATTTTTCTACTTGCTGGAATGAATTGTACAAGATGCTCAAGCATTTTATAAGAGTGATACCAGTCTCTAGTTTTAATATCCATGTGCACTTCTACAATTTCAATACACCTGAGAGTAATTTCTTTGGCAATATGTTCTTGTAGTGGACAGCGCGATTGGATCAAGTCATCATATGAAGTCATTAGGTGATCACTACTGGGGATTTCAAATGATTCTAAGCAATCCTTTCTGATATATTCAAGTAAACCAACCCTATGCAAACCCTCTAACCATTCTGAAAGGAAGCTACTGTCAGTATCTCTAGAGATATTGAACCAGAAGCCTTCTAATCACTCACCTGGAAAGATTGCAAAGTTTCTATTGGGGAAGTTTGTAGCACGTGTAGCCTCTGCAAATAAATCAAAGTCTGATGCAATTGAATTGTAAAAAAGTAAATGACAACAATTGTTTATATCTTATTAACCCCAGTTGAGAAAGAGAAAAGTGATAGAACATACTTTTTGTGAAAGATAGCTCTAAAACAGCTCGAGAGATTGGGGCCTGGTCTATTTTGGTGCCTATCAGTGACAAATTCCATAGCTTTGAATCTTCAAGAAAAGCCCAAAGAATTGCCAAGTGTGATAATCTCTGTGGCAGAGTCAAATCATCAAAACTCAGTAGTTGAATGAATAAAGCTATCACATTGTCTGTCATGTAGTCATCCTCTTCTTCAATGGCTTTAGTTATAGTGGGAATTTGTGCTGCCAGCCTTCCAAATAGACTTCCACGACCTTGATCTTGAAGATAAAGTATAAGGGGTTTGCAACGTGATATCTTTTCAATTCTTTCTCTCTTCTTGTCCATGGTGGAAGTCATTCCAGCTTCATAAGATGTTGTGGATAAGCTATTTCGATGATGATGAACAATTGGGTGCATGAGTTTGAAAACTTCACTATCTTTGATTGCTTCAACAATAGATCCTTGTATGGGAGGGTGAGGAGGACTTAGAATCTGATGATCTTGTATAAACATAAGGAAGAGTATGATATAGTTTATTGGATTCATTTCCCCAAGATTTTCTTGGACATACTATCACAGGTGGAGCAGGGATGTACTTTGACTCTTTGTGAGATGGAGAGCTAATTATGTGGTTCCTGGAAGATCAGAAACCATTTTTTTTTCTCCAGAGGGTGTTTCAACTGTGCTTTTCAAACATTCCCTCAATTATTCATACAATTGCATGTGTTATATTATGTATTTGGGGCCAGAAACCCAAGATAAGGAAATTCCCATATAAACAGTGTACTCTAACCAGAAAGGATGGAACCAGCCTTTCAAAAACCCTGCACTGTGCCTGTGTGGTAGTTTCTCTCCAACAAGAGCACACAAGTCCTTTTTGACATCCAACTACCACACAGACACTGGGCTAGGTCCAATTTTTTCATATCAAATGAAAATATCAGGATCTGGATAAAATGTTTTCCCCATAAAAGGTGCATTGTAAACAAAGTTTCTCAAAAAGTGTTGGAGAACCTTTTTATTCATTTAGGTCTTTACCTGGCTCATATACTTCCCAAGATTTCAGATGTTCATTTGATGATGCACTGCTAAGGTGTACAGACTACACACCACCAGCAAACCCAGTGGTTGTAGATTTTTGAGGAAAGTGTTTTTGACTTTTTGAATGCTTCTGAAAAGGCTTTTTCAAGAGCATAATATGATTTTTGACACATTGTGATTTGAGGGCTTATGGTTAATTTACATATTGGCAAAGGGCTCATTTGCCTGTCTATACCTCACTTACCAATAGGGCATAATAAGTCATTAATGGGATACTTACAGGGCCCTTTGCAAAATAATTGCTTAATCTGATCAGCACATCCTTTTTCTTTGTGTTTACATTTTTATCCAATGTTTTGTGTTTAATACTTAAGGAGCTACATCTGTTTTGAGGAAGCAGTAAAAAGCCAGTGAGAATTTAGCTTGTCTCTCACCTTACCAAAGGCTTGATTACTAGTTTTGATTCCAGACTGGAGTCAAGGGTAGCATTTCAATGGCCTATATAATTTTCCTGCTGGAATGAATTGTATGTCTGTTTCCTTTTGTGCCTCACATAAATTGTGTATGTGACCATGTTTTGATTTCTTATGTAGCTGTTTTGTGTTACTTTATCTACAGCAGGCCATTCATGATCAGCTCTTCCTACCTTGTGGGCTTTGAAGCATAAATAGTACAATCACCTGAGTACAAAGAGTATTTTCATCTGCAGAGATTCATTATGGCTAGAAGTGCCCATTGTGGCAGTGCCATGTAGTGTGGAGTTGATCCCCTGCTAAATACTAGTGGAGTCAAGGTACCCATTAACTTAATGATAAAGAAGGCTATTTTGGTATCCTTTCATTGATAGGTTTCCAAAGGTATAACTTTCATCCCCTTTTTTTATCCTTGTGTTTTGATTGAGTGTTCCCACTCACAAAGTTATATATAGTTCTCTGTATGGTTTTTTTCCAAAAATATGCATGGCCCCACAGAGATATATTTTTGGATTCATGACTCAAGTATGCACCAAATCAAACTTCAAAACTTGCTCACTGGGTCAGAGGTGCTTAATGCCCTCTCTGCGTAGCCACATCAGGCTAACTCAGTGGGATCCCTTTGCACAGTGTTCACTTGCACACACCAGACACAAAATTTTGGATTTGCTTGGCTGTGCCTGTTATGGCATGCCCCAACCTTGTTCAATCATGAGCAGTTTGTCAGTGCATTGCTCAAGGGTAAAAAGATCTATCTACCTCACAGCCAACCCCACAGGTGGTGTTGTACCAAAATAATCAAACACTCTTGGTGGCCCCACAGGATGTGTTGTAGGGGAGTTAAACCCCCAACAAGGCCATGACAAGGCCCCAGTTTACAATTTATAGCCTCATAATGCTATGTAGCTTCCATACCCACAACTTGTTGTGTCCAATTACTTATAATTTCTCTTCAATGTTTCATGACACTAGACCTCAGTCCTTGTACTTCCTCTTCTTCACCTGCATGTCTAATAAATTTGTCAAACATTGTAATTTTTTCACTCATTTGCTGTGAAAAAATCAAGAGAGATATTCCGCTCAATTTCTTTTCAATGTTTCATGACACTAGGCATCAGTCCTTGTAATTCCTCTTCTTCCCCTACACCATGTAAATATCCGTGTAGCACGTCAACGTGCACACACGGAGAGTTTTGAAATAAATCTCAAAGTCTTTTGGTCGGATTGAGACTGAGATTTTTGCTGAGCGCCCTTTGTGCTTTGTGATTTGTTTAAAGGATTTGCAGAATCCTTTGTTGTCAGTGGGGGCCAATTGACTTTCAACCTCCCAGGTGATAAGGGGAAGATGTACTTGTCGTGGAACCTCTTTGATGGGTCGTTACAGGGTCCACGGAAAGTCTTTTGTGTGTGCACGTCGACGTGCTACACGGATATTTACACGGTGCTACATGTGTAATAAATTTGTCCAGGTTAATCTTATTTAGATTCTTACTTTGAAGCATGTGAGCATAGGAATGTCCTCCAGTGCATTCCAACTTCACTGTAAATTGTCCAAACAAGAATTCAGATACACATATATCACAATCTGCTCCATTGGGATGTTGTATGGCTTCTTTTTGATGAATTTTCAATTTATATCTCTTGCCTATTCAGATCAAATTAGGTGGAAGAATATCATTGATCATCTTCATATACCAGATTTGATTTGAATCAAAGTGGATTAATTATAATGCTGAAGGATCTTTGTTATGACACTGAATTTTGCAAGTCAAGAGTCTAGTGGTATGTATTGACAAAATCATTCCCCCCTTCTTTCTCAAGCTCACTACTTGTGAAATACTTAGCACCCATTATATCATAACTAGTCCTAAATCAGATTCTGAACAAGACTTTCCTTTCTTTCATATAAATCTGAAGTTCTCCTTCTCTGGGAAAAAGGTGTTCTAGTTTTAAGTGAGATGCATCTTGGTTTTACATACCCTCATCAATTGAGCCTATGTACTCCATTCTCATGTACATATGCTCCAGCTTCCCTTGCCTTTGATGTTGAATTCATGGCAATATGTGATGTCCTTTTCAATACCTCTTGTGCTCCATCTTCTATTTCAAACACATTGATTATACACTTGTACATAGTGATCCAGTCTAGTCACAACCAGAGCCCGGCCCCGGCCCCGGCCCCGGGACCCAAATGTTGGGGGGTCCAAGTAATACCCAAAAAAAAATTTGCAGGGGTTTTTTTTGGCGAAAGTTCTTTTTCTTCACTCTATCACTACATACAGTCAATCTAGTTTTGCTTGTCCAATCAGATTTTATTTATTTATTTATTACACCAATACAGGTGATTCTATAAGCATAAACATCATATGCTTATGTGCTTTATCAGGAGTCGTGAGTCTGAACAACCACAGTTGACCACAGTCCACAGCGCTTGATTATCACAAACCTGTCCTCGACATCATCCTTTCATCCTCACACGCATTGTTCCAGCTTGATCACATCTCTCATCGTCCATCCTCACAGCCAAGGAACCTTCATGTGAGTTTTGACCAAGAGGCTTCGATTTTGGTCTCTTTGCTTTGATCCAGACCTCTCAGCTTCGATTTGAACCTTCCCGTCTTTGATTCAACCCTCTGCACACTTGATTTGATCCTGTAAAGTTCACTCCCTCAATCAAAACGTAGCTTGAAAAGAATGCTGACCTACCTTGCAATTTTATGATCCATGGAAGTTCATCAGATTGGAGTGGATTATTCAGAGCACCTTTATCAGCTACTTCTATTCTTAATAAACACTCGGCAATCAATTTTCAACTGGATGGTGAAGAAGAAAAGATGGATGGTTTGCTATCAAAAGTGTTGATCTAGGTCTTGATCGCTACCCACACAATATCAAAACAGAAGCCAAATTATAGGCATCAATCGATCACCCTAATGTTGGTTCAATCCACTCAAGCTTCTGTTCAGTTTGGATCTTGGTCTCATTTTTGAACCCTTCCTTTAGGCTTTGGATACAGCTTGTAAGCATCAATTTCTCTAGATGTTTGTTGGGCAACTTAAGAGTTCTGTTCTTATACATTTCTTCCTTAGCTTTGAATGTTTTCCATCAGATTAATTCCATTTTCTTAGTGTTTATCCTTCTTGTATTTACTCTAGCCTCAGCTTTTCATTGTAATACACAACACTTTGAAATGCAGTCTCTTCCTGTACAAATTCAATCTGAGATCAAAATGTGGATCTGATGAGACACATTGTACTCATAGGCAATGGAAAAAGTCCAGAAACTAAATTGACTATAAGACCAGGGATTTGGGAACGATGAAGGTAAATTGTTCATATCATTGATAATGAGCACTTGGATAACAGGTACAAACTCCCTATATACAAATAAGACACATATACATAGCAAGAAAAAACAATACAAGATTCACAGACCTAGACAGATCGATGTGAAGCTCTGAGCAATCATGTTAAATAGCAGTGCTGATGATTAGCAACAAAAAGTTATACTTATGAATCAGCAGTATCAACACAAATCAACGACACACGATTGATTATTGCCCCTGGGTTTGATTCAGTGAATTGGTCGGTCTCCAAAGTAGAAATGCCCGAACTGACGACTAGAGCTAGAGTTGACAAGCAGAAGGGAGTCAAAAGAAGTTAATTGTTTCAATCAGCGGGTGTTCAGCTGAGTCAAAGGACATACATAGTTTGAATCAGCAATAAGATAAGGAATCGATTTGATGAAATTGAAGGTATCTGATGAACGGACCAGGATATTGAGCCCGCTGGAAAGATAAGGAAGATATTTAGAAATCAGAGGATTGATATCATTATGAGAAAGACATTCAAGGAGCTTACTTGAGTCAAAGCCAGGATATTACAGTCGAGACCAAGAGGGTAAGATCACGGATGAAATCTTGAGAGATATCCTCAATTCTCAAAGGATATGGTGAGGTAGAGAGAAGGGATTGGACAATTCAAGTGATCCATGGATGGGTTTGGAGGCGATGGATTGGTGCTGATTAGTTAGCAGCACCGATCGTGATTGGTGGACAGCCCCCTTCAATTGGATACACTTCAATCACGATTGAAGGCTATGTATGCTTATAAAATGGCCTGTATTGATGAGAAAATAAAAAATAAAAAATCGGAATGGACAAGCAAAACTGGAATGACTGTACTTCACCCTTGTATTGTAAAAATACAAGTCTATGCTGTTCTGTACCCCAGGAGTTGTGATGAGAGGTGCTCCACCTACTTACTTAGGGTACATAAGTAACAGCTTAAGTGGCTACCTAAGGATTTAAATACTTAAGTAAGGTACTTAAGGACTTAATATTAGGTCCATTAGGTACCTAGACCCCAATGTTGGAGGTTTGTAAAAATAAAAAAAAATTGGCCAAGCAGATTGACTCACCAAGTCATTTCTGACACAAACACCCCCCTTAGAGCCCAAAAATGACTTTTTACACATGATTTGTAAGTAAGAGTTCAGTGTGTAAACTTGTGTAATCAAATTTCGATTTTGCAGAGCGAGTCTGGTCGTGACTAGACTGGAGCAACTGTAGTGATCCAGGGTTCTCCTCTTGTACAATGACGTCATTATCTGATATCCTTTGCATGATATTTTGTTTTCTTTTTCACGTGAAAATGATGATGATGGTTATTTTGATTTGAATGACGTCATTGTGAAGTTTTATTGAGATCTTTTCTTCAAGGAACTGTTTATCCTTCGTTTACCATTCACCCAAAACTTGTTTTCCTTTCGAAACCTTTCCCATTCAAACTTGTCCCTTTTAGGTAAATAAATGGTTCTCTTCAATATCTTGAATTCTACCAAACCAGAGCTGATAAAATATTCGATTGGCATTTTCACAGAACGTAGTCACTCCATAAAAACAGTTGGAAAAGATCAAAACAAATATTCCAACAAAATGATAAACGAAACAGATTCAATTCCCAGCCTGATGAAATTAAGCAATACGAATTACTACGAATGGAGTCATGAAATCTTAGCATATCTAATGACTCAGAACCTAGACCAATTCATTCAATCAGAAATCAAACCAACCGAATCTGAACTTGAAGATCCTCATTACTCAATCCGAAAGAAAAAAACATCAGGCATCATATTTCTATCTTTGGATCAAAACAATCGATACAAAATCATTACTGAAAACCTTTTATCAGATCCATTAAAGATATGGTTATTTTTAAAAGAAGAATATCAATCTAAATCACCCTCAAACCAAGGAAGGACTTATTCAAAATTATGTCATTTAAAATACGTGAATTTAGATCAATTCATTAAAGATACTCGTAGATGTTTAGCTTACATAACTGCATGTGATGGTCACAAACAAACATTAGATTGGATGTTTGCTGCAATGATTGTTGTTAAACTTCCTGATTCCATGGAATCCACTGTTGCTTCTTTAACTAGTCATTATCCAATGAATACTAAGCATGTATTGAAGACTCTCGAGATTTATGAAGCTAATATGACTAGTCATCTACTATAAAGATGTATTTACCAATTCTACTATTCAAGTTGTTTAGCTAGTTGAAAGATCGCGTGTATTCTTACTTATGAACTGGCTTTGAAGCTAAGCACTCATAATTTTATTAACCTTGTCTTGTTCATGTGACCCAACGAGATATGAAGGGGCTTGCTTAGGCAAAGCATCAGCAAACTCAAAAGATGCAAAGGTAACACAGTGAGAACAGAACAGCATACTAGGATTTCAGGGGTACATAAGCTTTATACACTCCGATTAAGATATCTTTGAATCGCATCAATATCACTAGGAAGCCTCTTGAAAAAAAAGAAATTTAATCAGACGCAAAAGTGGAAGTCATAATATACAAAAATGAAAAAAGGAATTCAAATGTTGATAAAGAAATAAGTGAAGCGATCCCAACTTGATCATAGAGCTGTACCACGTTCGATGTTCTCTCGGATCTCTTCGGTATATTTGTTGTAAAACCTTCCAATCTAATTCAAAAGAAATCGTAATGAGTCAATTATTGTAAAGTAAAATGATCAACAGAATAGATAGTCGTACCTTTTGGTTGAAAGCTTTGTTCTTGTCCTGTAAAGAATCGGTCAACAAAGAAAAACATCAATAAACAAACAAACCTCGAAAGAAATGCGAAAGTCAAGGTTAGGAAAGTAACTGACGTTGATATAAGTGATTTCCCCATCCTCTTCTTTCCTAACACGAGATCTTTTGCTCCGTTTATCAATACTAAACCGACACCAAAAAGTCAGTAAACTAATGCAAAAAAACAATAATGAATAAAGATAAACACTCGTACTCAAGATTGAGTTTCCCAACGACCCTATCTATAGCTTCCTCTGTTGGACGATGATCAGCGTATACCAAACTATTCATATCACGATACAAGTTTTCAGATGCTTGTTTTTGAATCACCGATGTACAACTTGAAGAACCTGTGGTGATTAAAGCACTACTACCATCTGCTACTGCTCTTTGTTTGTTGTAATTCACAAGATCAGGTTTAAGACTATCGACATCTTTCTTATACTTTCGTCTAGCAAGATCATCGTAATCTAAAATAAAATCAAATGAAAAACAAAAGACAAAATTAAATCCGCATTCCGATTTGATTAAATGATGAAAGGGGTCATCAATTAAAACTTACCAGTAAACTCATGATTTCCTCTACTTTTCTTTTGTTTTAATTTCTTATCCCATCTTTCATTATCTTCAATACTATATTGCCAATTTCGTTTTCTTTCAAGATCTTCACCTGCTGCAGTAGCTTCAGTTCTTTGTCCTAATGCAATAGCTTGTGCTTTTTTTCTTTCTAATCTTGAAATCTCTTTAGCTGTTGCATGTGATTTGTTGGCTTCTGATACTACATCTCTTCGATTTGCCATAGCTGATTCTGTCTATTGAAATATCATTCGTTTTAGTGTTGAAAAAGGTAAATAAGTGGGACGATAACTTACTTTTCTTTTTCTTAGTTCTTGAAGTTTGACCGCACGACATGTTGCTGGATCGTTTGATTCGACTGGTTGAGGTTCTGTAATGGTTGACATGGTGGTGGTGAAGAGTATCGTAATGTTGTCCAATGTGGTTATTTTGAGCTCGAGAGTTTGGTCGTCGTCAGTTGGAGAGTCGACGAAAACCTTTAGAGAAGCCGGGTCATACAATCAGGTGTATGCGGGGCCAGTCGAATATCGGGCCTGATCCGAGATGACACGGGATACATACACGGTACTTCGGCTGAATTATGAGCTCTTTTGCCTGAAGGCTGACCTTCAGATTGCAATGTGTAAACATTTCTTATGAGTATTCCACTCTCTTACTCCACGATGTCTGGGTGGTGATGCCATACATGGTGTCTTTCAGGTTCTTCTTTCCTATTTCCAATAACTCATTGTGTATTTATCATAATTGTAAGTATACTACAAATGGTTTGTCCAGGCTAGGCAAACCTAGAGAACTATACTTCCTTCACTTCATCTCATCAGTTTCTCTTCTCTTTCTTGGATCTTGGAAATGTAAAATTTTCACGGTAACTATTCACAATCTTTTGTGACTTCAAAGTGGATAAAAGTCTTGGAATTGAGAATCAAAGCTTTTCTTTCCCATGTGGCTGTCTATCAAACATATCCATCAAGGTTGAATTTCATACCCATGTTTATCAAGTATTACTACACTTATCAAACATATTCATCTATGCTACAAAAACTGAGATTAGGTATTATATTTTTCAACGTATTTCAAAGAAAAGCTCCCTTCGAAAAAAGTCGTGATCATACTTCGCCACGTTTCAATAAGCTTGAGTTCGAATTGGATGAAGATATATCTTTTCTTGATAACGAGTTCCTTAGTTCATCAGGTTTCATTGATTGATAAATTTCTTCTGCAGTTTTGAATTCTCCAAGATTAAAAAGAGGTAAATTACTTGCAGAGAATATATAATCTGATGGGTTTGAAGGAGGACTTGAACTAGAAAAAGTTGAAATAGAAAAATTTAATTCAATCAAAAATTGTTCTAATGATTGGATATCCGAAAAACACACAGATAATTGAACACTTACGTTAATTCATCGATTTCTTTTGCAATGATATTAAAGCAAAAATGATCTAAATCTAAATCATTAGGTGAATATCCAAATGGGTTTTCAATATCTTCTGAGATTTTCAAAAATCCTAAAAAGACAAATGAGATGAGTGCAGTAGCTGGAATAGTAATCTTTTTGAATGTTCCAATTAATTGAAAGGGTAAGAATAGTAGATATCCCCAAATTACAGTCTAAATAGAATCAAAACAAACTAAGTCAGATTGGAGTTAGATTATTGAGGATTCAAAAATGTGAAAGAAATACCTTTAAGTGAACTGTATAACCAAATGGTAATGGAGTCTATAGTAGAAAGAATTAAATCAGATTGACCATTGGAAATGTATTATTATAAAAAATTTAGAAAATTGCTCAACTGTTAGAACTCTTTCCAGCGTACTCAACGCATCAGAGAGACCCACGATTGAAGCATTCATAGAATTTGTAGTCGGTACACTATTCATTGGAAAAGTCATCAGTCATCATTTAGATCATCCAAGTTCGATCATTCATAATATGTAGACTCACTCGAGCATCTTTCGTCGTTTAAGACTAGTGATGTAGGCGTCTAACTGCCATAGAATCTCAAGCGGTAAATTATCATCATTAAGATTTTGTACGCTCCGTCTTCTTTGTTTTGTAAAGTTCAGTGCTCCCTGATGAATTATCGAATACAAAAAACATAAGTTTCTGTCCATCTGTTTGTTTAAATTTGTTTTGAGAATGAAGACGTACCTTCCATAAACTTCTGAAGATTCTAAAAACAGGTAAATGATCACAAAGAGTTTTTTTAGGAGGATTATAACTAGGAAGTAATTTGATAGGTGGAATTAATGGATCAGGATATTGGATTGTTGAACGTGAGTTTGAAGTTGATTGATTACTTTGATGACTTGCAGAAGGTAGTTCGATTTTGATAAATTTGTCTGATTTTTCTTTTTTTAAGGTCTCAAATGCTTCAAATTCTGGAAGTTGTGGTGCATTCGGCATTTGAACATAAGATGGAACATTATATTTTGGTAGAAAACAAACTAAATCTGTTTTTGGGGAAATAGTAGAAAATCATTGAAGTTATGTTAGTCATCTTTGGGTGAGGATGTGTTTAGATTTCACTTACGATATAAGTCTTCATAAAATATTCCACGTTCTATTGAAAATTTACGAGAGAAGAATAAGCTCAGATTCACAACATATAGGCTCAAACGATGAAAAGTTGAATTTTTATTTCTCACCTCCTCTCAAGTAATGTTTAACGCTAACACTGAAGCTTTCGATCAAGTTTGTCATTGTCTTCTTTTCCAATATAGCTTGATTGACCTGTTAAAACAATCCTCAACAAACAGTATTTTCCGAGGTTCATCGTCTTCAAGAAAAAAAACTGTTTACATACCTCAGCATCAGATGGCGGGTCTTTTTCTGAATGAGGATATAATTCATCTGGAATATGTATCCAAATTATACGTGCTAATGTTCGACTATGATGAATCATACTACCCCATGCTCTCCTAAAGAGAGATTTTTGAAATCAAAGTGCAATTCTTCAATAAGCTTTCTTCACAGGGATTAATGAGATGACATTATCTGACCTGGCTTCAGTATATTGAGCATAAGCACTACTCGTTCTGTAAGATATAGCAAAACCGATGATGGTACCTGAAGATGAAAATTTGCAAAATTGGCGTGCGATCCCACTTTTGTTTCATGCAACATATTCCACATAAAGATTTCAAGCTTACCCAGTACCGTGATGATAGTCGTGCTCTATCAAAAAGATCGAGTTGAAAATTATTAAACTTGTTATTCAATCCTTAGAGAAAGATTACAGATGATGAAGTTTTTTTTTGCTTACCACTGACAACGACTTACTCGGGCGATTGGTAAACGCGATGGCGATTGCTTCTAGGGTAAAGGCCGAGACAGAAGGCCAAATATCCCAAATAGTTGAAGATTTGATGAATTGTGCCAAAGGTGGACCTTTGAATGGATCATGTAAGATTTGATCTCTCTTAGACTTGAACCTTCTACCTGAAATTCCTGATTCCAATTGAGCTTTTACCATTCTTCTTTTGAAATTGATATACTTATCAACAGTTTAAAGTGACTTTGTCAAAAAGGTCGATTGATGCTTGAGGTTCTAATATTTTGAGATCTTTATCAAAAGATTCGTTTGGTAAGATTAATTCCTGATGAGGTATGAAAGAACCAGAGGAAAACATTTGTTCACTCAGTCGGTTTGGATCCAGCCGTATCAGAAAACCCGTTGTCATTAAAAGTAACCAATTCGACCGATGCACAACTACCAGTTGTCTTTTTCCTGGACTAAACACTCGTGGCTTTATCAACGATCGAATTCGATTGTGAAGCAAGAAACTTGATACATGCCTTGCGAGTTTGCACCAAATGTATAGCTTATTGGAGGCAGAATGCGTCAAGTCACGAGGGAATATCCGATCGATCGATGTGGGTGATGTCACAGTGCCCAATGGCAATATCACGCAGGACCAAAACCAAGGTATAAAACGAGAGTTCAGCTTCGGGATGTCCTTCGCCAAAACTTACGGGCTTTAACCTTCTCGCGATGGAAAAGTTGAGATTTGCATGCAGCATTTTGCTTTAGAACACACACAATCGTGAAATCAGAGACTCTCGTTGAAATGGGTTCCAATCAAAAAGTAATTGTACCTGAATCAAAGCTTCATTGATTGTCATAGCGTGATAACATACTATTATGAAGTCAAAAATTGGAATACATAGTCATAGAGGTGTTCATTTGTTTAGTGCGTTCCTTTTTGCTACAAACCGAAATGCTCAGCTCACCAAGAAAAATCCTCATCAACTTCCCCTTCCATACTTCCCATCAACCAAAAACTTCAAAGTCATCAAAATAATCAATCATGACGTTTCTTAATTTACATTTCCACATTGTGAATTTCTTAAAGAAACTACTTAGATGCATCATCTTTTCAATCATCATCATCTCCTTTCTGAAAATCATGACATTATCTCAATTAATTGATCAAATCCAAATCGGAGCCGACCATGAAATACAATTGATACCGATCTTAAACAACGCGAATCTAAATGCAACGATTCAACTTCCATCGCCATATATAGAGATCCAATCGAATCAATTGAATGTAACAGCTTTATCCGAGCTTTTATCATTAGCTTTACTTCCTTATTCATCTTCAGAAGATCAAACAGTACATTCTCAGTCACTTCACAATCAACAACCTATCGTTAATGAAGACGGTGAATCGGAATCAGAATCAGATCAAACGTTATCAGATGGTAAATCAATGAAAACCGGGAAATTAAATGATCAATCCCATATGCTGTGGCAATCTTCTGGGGTTCTAACTAAAGGAAATTGTCCTAAAAATGTTTTAATCGAAAATTGTTTTGGTCTTGAACTTTCGGATGATCCAAGTCAAAATCTTGATCCAGGTGGTCGTACACCAAGACAGAGGATTGAATTCTTAACACCAGGTTAGAGCGTTCTTTCTTTCCGGATAAAACTTTCTTGGGAAGAGGTTTCCAAACAGGTTTTGATATAAATTCCAATAGGAACTTGATTCATTCCTCTTAAACTGATCCACCATCTGTTTCTTCGCTTCAAAATTTGAACATTTAACGCCAGGTTTTGGTGATGGAGACACTGCAACCTATACTTGGAGTTCATACTTAGATTCAAGAGTCCAAACCACCAATCACTTTTTTCATCTATTTCAAATTTATTCAAGAGGAGATGATGGACCAATGTTAACATTAGATATTAAAGATCAACTAACATCGATTTTAGATCCATTAAGATGTTCAGATGATTGTGGTGATGGTACACAGATGGACTTCGAGTCATTCAAATCTAGAACGATTTCTCATGCTCTCAAAGTCACATTTGGTCCTTTGGGTAAGATTGATTATGTTTTAGGCGATAGACTAACTAGACAAGTTCAATTAGGTTATTCTATGCATGGTGGTCGTGTTGGAAGTGGCTCTACCAGTTTGAAGTTTGGTACTTATAGAGCTGCTGTAGATGGTATGGGATCATCCTTGTAAGTCTTATTGCTTTAGACAACTTATTCACGTCTTTCCATTTCTCATTAAAATTTGTGGTCCCGTTTTAAACACTGGTGTTTAAAAACCTCTGTAGAGCTTATGTAGGAGACTTTCGATCACATACTTGAAACATGATTTGGAGATTCAACTCATTGAAGTTGTTCGAATCAATTTCACTTTTGGATTTCCTCGATGGCCATGCCGTTTCAATAAATTCACTCTTCATATATATCATAATCTTTTTTTCAAGACTCAAACCCAAAATCGTATCCCAATTCTGTTCTTGTACAATGCTCTATTTCTTGAAAAACTGTACATTCGAGAGCCTATCTGAAATCTTGGAATTATGGTATTCAAACATGTGCAAGATCCGTGCAAGAAATCCTTGCAGGGATCTTGCACAATTAATTTATTTCACAACCCATGATCTAGTTTGCACATGATCATGCACCATCTGGGTCAAAGCCAGGAAGCCCTTGTTGCAATGGGGCTTTGTTATGTTAACATATGTTAGTCTTAAGTCTGCAAGTTTGGTGCAAATTCTGGGTGGCAAGAGGTTAAAAGAATTTGCACACAAATTATTTTTGAAGTTTCAATGCCATAAATCCTGATAAGAAGTACTTTGATTGTAATCTGTACTCTTCATGCAGATTCATGTTTTCCTTATTTGAAAGCACTCTGATACCAAAGGAGTGGGTGTGGAAAAATCATAGATAGCTCAGGCATCATCAAAGGATACAAATCTAAAGGTACAGCAGAGATCAAGGGCACATTTGGGAGCCCCTATTTTGAACTGCTTATGTCAAAGTTCAACTTTCAAAAAGTCAAACTTTGAGAAGTCTGTTTGGCACGGTATTTTGATACCTTTTCATAAGTTATTATGGGAGCATAAGTAGCTTCTTTTGTCTATTATTCTTTTTTGTCCAGGGTGAGCTTTGAAAGGATGGGGAAGTGATTTTCATGTTTCTGTAAAGAAGAGTCAAGATTTTACTCAAAATATATTTTAGTCCAGAGCCAAAGTGCCAGATAAAATGAAGAATCAGACCAACCATTCACCACCCAAGTGGAGTTTGATCCTTCTTGATCAGCAAGCCTCCTTGGAGATATTCATCAAGCTCAGAGTTATCCAAAGCCTCAGTACCTCCATTTGAAACTCCAAAGATGTTGTATTCATTGGGCTTGGAAGTTCCATGGTTATCTTCAGGGGGAGGGCTGGTGTAGCCCACCTCAGATTCCTCCAATTGTACATTGAAAGTGGCCTCACTTGCTGCAAGAGATTAAATCTTGTGATTGGGGTAATTAATCAAAAATAACTTCCCTCAAACCGGGGGTTGAGAATCACCATGTTGGTATCCTTATAGCATGTCAACATGCACACACAGAGAGTTTTGAAAAAAATCAGAAAATCTTTTGGTCGGATTTAGACTGAGATTGGTGTTGAGTACCCTTTGTGAATAATCATTTGACTAAAGGATTTGTGGGATCCTTTGCCGGCAGTTGGGTTCAACTGTGTGTCAACATCCCAGTTGACAAAGGGAAGATGTGCCTATTGTGGAGACCTCTTTAAAGGATCTTTCAAGTATGTATCAAAAGTCATTGGTGTGTGCACGTTGACGTGCTACAAGGATACAGACACAGTGAATTGCTGCTGCCAATACTATGGCTTCACAATCCACTGCCTGCTGCTGATACTTTGCGAGCCACTCAATCATGATGTTGATTGAGTTGGTGAAGGTAGGAAAATTTGATGCTTCAAGACCATTTTGATGGCCTTGGAGTTTGGTAATGACTTGTTTATATTCTGCTAGTCAGATGCACCCAGTAGAGCCATTGCCCTCAACACAAGAAGTGGCATCAACAAAGGTCTAGAATGACTGTCAGTATATCACTCAAAAAGACGGGGATTCAATAGCAAGGAGCTGACCTAGTAGTATGTAAGAAATTTGGAATTCTTGTTAATGAATTTAAGAATATCAATGAGGAGAAAATAAGTGAGGGTCATGATTAAACTTTTTATGATTATCAAGAATTCCAAATTGTACACCTCTGAGTAACTAAAAGACACCAATTCTATCTAACAATGAGAACCATGTAGAAAACAAGAAGGATTCAAGGTACACAAAGTCATTCTAAAAGCAGGACAGTAAGCTTCATAATAGCTTGTATGTACCCTATTTAACTTTTGCAATAACCATCAAGACCACAATCACTACACTTTAGACTGTGATTTGTACATGTAGATGATAAATTACAGGATACTGAGGAACATGTTGCATACTCATGACGCTGTCTGTCATCACCATCTTCAACTTCAAGAGAAGTACGTGACTTTCTAGATCTTGAGAACCCTGTAATATCTTCTGAATGCTCTACCATTTCACACATCATTGGTATAATCAAAATATTTAAGATCAAGCTAAGTAGAACTATTTCTTTTAATTGGATACCAATCATGGTTGATGTAAACAGAGAATCTCAGGATATTGATTTACTTGGAAGATGAAGCAGGTTGTGCAGAAAGAAAGCTGCTTTGAAACAGACTGGGTTTGAGAGCAGATGTGCGTGTAGGTTGGGTTGGTTTGTGGTTGATTGAGTCAATTCTAATCCCTCAAGTAAGCTTAGTGAATGACAAAAATGAACGTCGATGTTCTATGAAATTTTCTGATAGCTTTGAGCGTGTTTTGGTTCAAGGAGGAAAGATAACAGTGAAATATCTATTTTTTTGACCGAGCTTCAGTTATGGGAAGTCGTGAAGGAGTTCAACAGATCAAAACTTCCAAGACTCACCAGGAAGCTAAGGCAATGAAATTGGGATAGCCGTGTATGGGTTGGGCTTTGAAAAAAAATCACTGATATCAAAATTGACCAAGAGGGGAAAGAGAGTGGCAGTATGTAAGCTCGAAAAGTTCAAAAGAGATCTACATATCGTATATAGTCGGTAGGCTGACGAAGAGAGCAGGGAAACATACCAAGACAGTTGTGCACCGTAGGCAAACAAATTGATGAGATGCTTGGAAAGTGAGCAACTACTCAGCAAATGAAAGTGCCCTTTTATATTTGTTAAAGACCGGCTGAGTCGCTGTCTGTGTAACTCTTGCCGACCATCAAGTCATGGAACAAAATGCTGCGCTGTCTTGCATTTCCTTCCGCAGAGTGATATCGTGTTGGGTTTCTGTCGAGTTTCGCATCATGGAAGAAGCTGATCATGTCGTTTGATGTTTTGTTCACATAAATCGTTTGGTGTTTTGTATCTCCTTTGACTCACACATACCACGACTTGAATGCAATACTATACATCTTATTAGATCTCAAACCTGATCGAGAGTACGTAGAAATCTAGGAGGTCTGGAATACAACTTCAAGCCTGTTTGAATGATGTGCCGTCAACGCCCGCCCACCCAGCACAGAGCACAGTGCTTTTGAACTTTGAAGACTATATACTACAAGCTACACGAATGTCATCCTCATCCCGCAATGAGTTTTCGCTTTGAAGAAATCATGCTTGGCCTCTGCGAAGACGACACGTACGTAATGGTATCTGTAGACTGCAGCAGCCTCCGCGGCGGGTCAGGCTGGGGGTGTTACCGATATAGGTTTATGTCCATGTTTTGATTGTGATCTGAATCAAATCACAAGATTCAAAACACCAAATGACTTACCTGACCCAAGCAAAGAAAGAAACATCAAGGGACATGAGGGGACCACAATCAGTTTCTTCACGACACGAAACTCGACGGATAGTCAACACGAGACCACTCTGGGAAAGGCAATGCAAGGCCCAGGGAACGCAGCATCGTGTTTCATGCCAATCCATGATGCCAGTGAAGAGTCAAAAAATACCAAGACACCATAAAACTGGTATTACAATATTCTCCTAATCACCAAATTCAATGGGTCGTCATTTCTTTCTATCCCTCATTACAACTTAGATAATCTGTTCAAAAAATTTAAATCAATGTGTAGAATGTATCTTCAGATATGCTCCAGATGATTTACTTTTCTCTTCTGCTCTCGTGGGACTACTGAGAAATACTGCCATTGTTAATTATTTGTTTATGAGCTATGAGGAAAACAAAACAAAAGATACAGTTGAATTCCTTCATCATGAAACAGTACTTAGTCTTGATGAGATACCTAAAAAGGTTTGGTAGAAATAGTATCATTTCATCATTAATATCATTTTGGCTTGCCTTTCAAGGTCAATCTTGATCAACCTATAGTACAAAATCCAAAGACTTTTAAATCAAATCTCATCCTTCACTTCTACTGAATATAATCTTTGATTAATCTCATCTTAAACAATTTCTATGTCTAATCAAAAATCAAAATATTTGTTGCCTCAACTGACTGAAAATTGAAGAATGAAACCTATATATACTTCTCTCTTTGAAAAACAAATATCGTTATAAGTATCCATTGAACAAACATTATATTCAAGACTGATTTAATTTACAAAAAACATTTATGTACAATCATCTCAACTTCTAACATATTCATTGTACCCTCAAGTGTTCATGTGATATAATAAACCATTACAAATCCAATGAAAAAAACCCACATTCCAACATGATCTTGCTCAGTATGACAACCCATCAACATCCTCAAATCGTTTTCCATCTATTGCCTACTTCTTTTCTACTCTTCATTTATAAGATTTCCTATACCGATCTTCATCTTTTCGATCCATTCTGTACGTTCCGCGCTCATCATCTCTCCCATCTCTTCTACTTTTCCCTTCACGTTCTTCTCTATCATAATGACCATCTGTATCTTTCCTTCTACTTCTTTCTTCACGCTCCTGATACCTATCCCTACCCGTATCATCCCTTCTACTCCTCTCTTCCCGATCATGATGATCTCTATGATCCCTTCTACTTCTTTCATCACCTTCTTCTCTATACCTACGATCCCTACTATCCTGATCATTCCTTCTACTTTTCTCTTCTCGATCATAATACCGACCACTATCTCTACCATCTCTTCGACTTCTTTCTCCTCCATCTTCTATTCTTAAACCTTTTAGATTTCTTTCCTCGTCATCTAGATACCTCGATTTGTTGTGTTTCTCGGATCTAGATGGTGATTTTTCTCGATATGATGTCGATCTACTTGTTGATGGTGAACCTGATCTTGATCTCGCATACGATCTTGAGCTCGAAGGTTTACTTGATCTAGAATCAGATCCACGTATCTAACTCCCAAAAAAAGAAACCCAACTTAATATTAATTCCATACAATCACAATCGAATCACACGAAGAAAAAAAACTTAACAAACCTCAGGATCGATAAGTTTCCTAACCAAAGGCACATACTTCCTATCATCCTTCCCCTTAAATTTCCTAACCATTCCCGTTCCTTTACTCGATCCTTCAGTAAGAACAAGAGCCTTAGCACCGATTCCCAAAAGACTTGGTCTAGGCTTCGGAACCACAGCTTCAAGTAACCCAACTCTTCCGTTCTTAGAAGCCGATGTACCTTCTTTCCATCCCATTCCTTTTAATAATGCTAATCCAAACGAACCAACAGGAACTCGTTCGTAATCTTCTAAACTTGATGGGTTTGGACGCTTTGAAACGTCTTTTCGAAACATACTGGTTTCGTCTTCAAATGAATTGGATGTACTTGGAGACAAAGATGGAGATCGTGAAGGTTCGGTTTTCATTAAGATTGGTTGGATTTCTTTTTTTTCTGGATCTGACTTTCTTCCTGACTCTTTCATTAACTCTTGAATAGCTTTTTCTTCTAATGATAACCCTGCTTCCGGAACTTCTTGTTCAACCACACCATTTTCTTGTACCTCCATCTTTTCTACACTTATGATTTTCGGTTGTTCAGGTTGTTCAATAACTTTTAATCCTCCAGAAACGTTTGACGAATTCATTCGATCAACATTTTCAATACCTTTGGTTGTTTCTTTCGTGGTAGAGGGTTTTCCAAATGAGTTTAACATCTCTGGTTTGTAGATTGGTTTCTTTGATTTCTTGTGTAAATAAATCGATCTGAAATCTCGATTTGGTAAAGCAGGAATCAAGAAATCCTTCTGAACATCTTCTTTTCTTTCCCTAACCAAACCCAAAACCAAAAAAGAAGTGGGTTTAAGTGAATGGTGTAGAAGGAAAGGAAAGGATCTCTAGAGGCTTAACTGATCAGTCGAATCGAATTCATCAATGATTTCTAATTTAGGTTTCTTTTTGAAATTAGGATTAGTTTGAAATTCTTCGTCTGTGTCATCACTTGAATGAAATTCATTGTTTTCTTTTTTTTGGTGGTGGTTTGGTTTTTCGATCTTGAATGAGAATGATGACATTTTTGGTTTTAGCTTTTGATTATGTTTTGGTTGGCTGAAGGAATGGATTCATGACTTCATCTCATCTCGACCGAAACTAAACTGAGGTGGATTGGATATTGGCATACTATGCTTTAGTCGAGGTGTATGAGTTGTTTCAGTTTAAGCATTCTGAATAGATATGTTTATATACTTTCAATAAGAACACCGACACCAGATCAATGCAATACAAGCTCATCAAACCAACCAACATGGACCAACCCACAACCCAAAGTAAGCCCACCCCCAACCCCTCCCAAACCCCTCAAACTAACCCATCCCCCCTCTCCAAATCCCAAAACCAAACCAAGCCACCAGTCCCAAAGAATGGTTCCCACTAGCCCTGCAAGAAGCGACGAAATGTGTTCCCTCACCCCAAGCCTTCAACATCGGAAGTCTAATCCTAAGTTCTTCAAACCAACTCCTAAGCAAAGGACATTCACGAGAACTACCAGGAAACACCCATGCAGAAGAAAACGCTTTATCTAAACTAACTGATCTAGAGATTCCAGATGGGTCTTTAAAGTTGGTCGTCACTATGGAACCTTGTTCGGTTAGGTTATCTGGAAAAACTTCTTGTGTTGATAAGATATTAGAATGGAATGATGAACATCGTGAGAAGAGGATTGGAGAGGTTTGGCTAGGCGTTTTGGAACCTAAGGATTTTGTGGTTTGTGAGGGCGTACGGAAGTTGAAAGAGATGGGAATCCTGGTTGGGGTGATTGAGGGGTTTGAGGACGAATGTTTGAGGATTGCTAGAATGAAATAGAACAATTAGAATTGGGTTTGTGGATTCGAAAGTCGGGATATTCATAATGGGAGCTTGGATCGTGTTTCTTAGCTGCTTTTCCCTCTCAACTTATATATTATTATGATTTTCAGTTTGGATATCTTTTTAAGAGAAATGTAAGAATGATTATGGATCTGATGGTAAGATGTAAGTATGCACTTGTCAAGTTTCACTACTTTTGGTTATCATTCTTGAAAAGTGTTAAGAAACTCTTAAAAGTAGTTATACATGAGCTTTGATTTGATTTCTTTGAAGAAGTCTTGGTTTGAAAGATATCCAAATCAAAAGCTGTTGAGGTGGTGAACTGTGTAGCAGGGTTGCAGTACAACCCGGTACAAAGACCCCATGAGTCACGGGTCTGTCTGACGCCCGGGACAAGCAGTATGACCTAGACATCGACGAGTCGTCGATGGAGTCATACAGACAGATGCAGGCATAGCGAAGTACCGGAATGCTGAGCTACAAGAGTAGTACAGCATCTCAAGATACTTACTCAGATAGAGATGCGAGAACAAACCAAGACTAAGGTCGCTCTTGCCTTTGGAGATTCACAGATGGAGTCATGCCGCTACCATACCTAGAGATGCTAGTAGGGTTCCCAAAGTCCTGGGATCTCGGCAAAGCACTCCAAGCAAGGAACGAATGGCTAAGTTCGATGAATTCTTCATCACGCCATTTGCATACTAAGAATGAGGGTATAGACCCTCACTTAGGAAGCTAACCACGAACCTCACCAGGGAGTATCTTTTCACTTGACTCATTAGATGTATAAATAGAGTCTTCATGTTCAATGCAATTCAGGACCCAGTTCCAACAGTTCAGAATTACTCTTGTTTGGAATACTCGTGCCTTATCCAATTGTTCATCTTTCTGATTCATTATCACAATCAACAATTATCCTTAAGCCACTCAATTCCATCCCTAGTTGTTCGTGAGGTTTCTCCCTAAGTCACTTAACAGATCCCTAATCTAACCCATAGTTTTGGTCCTGTTACACTGGTAGCGAGCTTTTAGTTTTTTGAAGTTCTCTCGACTTAACTAGCACTCTGTGAAACCCTTGCGCGGATCATACGTCCTGCTTCGTGAAATTTTTTCGAAAGTCTTTCTTTTAAATCAATCAACGTTAGTTTTTGGCCGTATTTTAGTTTCACTCTGGGTTCTATTTTGTTCGCATAAAACTTCTCCCCGACACCTCCGGACTCAGCCAGTTGTTAGAAGCTGATCATCAGTGATTGCTTTTTACCTTCTCTTCTTTTTGTGAACTCACAGATGGTGGCTACTCGTGATCAAATCGCTAACGCGAAGACGATTGTCGACTGCCTTCCGCCTCCTGCTGATGGTTCGGCTCAGTACTCCGCTGCGGAGTTGAAGTCCTTCACGGAGGAGGAGCGTGAAGCGCTTCGTATCCTCGGCGCTGAAGGGCCGGTTAGCAAGAAGGTTGTTTCCTCCACGGTCGAAAGCCAAGAGATGGTGACGGATGAAGGACCAGCCATGAATCCTAAGGGGAAGGCCTCTACGGTTCCGGCTTCTGCCGCACCTCCGAGCAATCCATCTGCCGCCCCGAGTTCCGCTCCTGTCACTCAAGAGCAGTTCCTCGAATGGAAGGAGTGGATGCTGCGTGAGGAAGCAAGAAAGTCGGTTATCAAAAGTAAGTCTTCCGTCTCCGTTTCGTTTTGCTCTGTTTCAGAGTTTGTTTCTGATGTGGGTGTGGACTCACCGGCAGACCGAATGGCAACTGTTGCCCTTGACGACGAGTCTGTTGATCGAAAGCCAAATTTGAAGGCTTTTATGTCCGCCGATGGAGACGGCCAAAGTAAGTACGAAGTCCTGTCGAGACTTCATTTCAAGCGAGTTGCTGACAAAGCTTTACATGCAGCTCCCGGGCAACCATTTGTGATTGCGGATGGCCCGGAAGACATCGTGTCTGATCCTGAGAAGGCTCGGAAGGCGATGGCTGATGTGACCCTGGAGATGTTCGACGGCTCTATGTCGAGCGACTTTTCTATCTGGGCCTCTAAGTTCGAACGCGCGGCTACGTTGCGTTTCATCCACAGATCCCTTTTCCATCGCCTCGCATTCACCCGTTTCAAGGATGGAGCCTTGACTCACCTTGAGAATGCTATGGCCAGCGCCACTCGCCCAACTTCTTGGGAAAGTTTTGTGGAGTGGGGAAAGGCCAAGTTCCGTTCCAGCGCTACTGAGTACTCGGTGAAGGCCAAACTCAGGGAACTTAAGCAGCGCCCTAATGAGACTGTCGGACAGTTCTATGACCGATGGAATCTGTTTGAGCAGGAAGCTAAGGTAGTAGGTCTGATCTACTCGCGTTCCCCTGAGTTTGTTGAACGCCTTCAGCCGGGTGTTCGTAAAGTGGTGCAGGCGAAGATCAGCGATCAACTACTTGCTGGAGTTGAGATGCCCTTCGCTGACATCGCGTTGTGGGCGGTTCGAAAGGATGACGAGTTTCGTAGTAACCGGGAATCCGTTTCGGTGATTGCTGAAGGCTCAAACTCTGCGTCAAACAATAAGAAGAGAAAGAAGAATCAGGTGAAGAAAGAGGATAGGAAGTGTTTTAACTGTAATGTTGTTGGTCACATCTTTGGATCTTTAGAAAACCCTGGTTGTCCTAAGGCGGTAACTGATCAGACTTGCAAGTACTTTGAGGGTAAGAAGGAGGTGAAGACTTTAAAAGATTAGGCAATGATGATGGGATTCAGTCGTCGGCGCCAAGTAGTAGCGTATTATGCAATAAAGTTTCAGTTTCTGGTTGTTCTAGTACGCTTTGTGAGTCCAATTGTGAGTTGCCTATTGAGTTTCCCAATGAGCCGCCTAGTATAGGCGAACTTGTGAGTTTAGTTAGGTCTGAAGTCCACGAGGTGGCTTCCTTGACCGATGAGGTAAGTCGGTTGTCTTCGACACCGTTCTGTGAGGAAAAAGTTGAGGATGGACGTTTTGGTTGTCTCAAGACAAGCCAAGCTGTCCAGTCAGACGTTCCAAACCTTGAGTTGGGTTTGGAAGGAATTCCCGAAAGTTCAGAGGACCTTCGGGGCACAGTGAGTGAAAATTTTTCAAGTCCAAAACCTGCATTAGAGGTGAAGAGTTTTCGAGTAGTTCCCGATAGTGGTGAACGTACCTCGGTAGAGGAGCAACGTCTAACGGCTGTCACAGAACGGACTAGCCCACCGGCCAGTGGGCCGCTTTTGGGGCAAGCCGGGATCCTCGATGGTAGCTCCGTCGAGGATCTGATGTTGTTAGAAGCAGATTCGGAAGGACGCCGCGTCGACTTTCTCTCAGTCGCTAGTGGCAGGATGTCAAGCTTCCTGCTTGACACTGGGGGTAAAGATAAGTATGTGTCGTGCTCATTCGTGAAAAAGAATGGGCTCGTAACAATGGTTAGTCCGTCGACCTTGAGAGTCAAGGGAGCCTTTGGACAAACGATCAAATGCGATCAGTTGTGTCAGCTAGAGTTCGAACTGGCAGGGCTCAAGTTCAGTATAAGCTGTCGAGTGGTTCCACTGGCCAGCTTCGATATAATTCTAGGGTTAGCCTGGATAAATGAGTTTGTTGTAGAGACGAACTGGACCTCGGGGGTCTGGACGTTACAAGATGGCAGAGGTCTTAAAGCTAAGTTCCAGCCTGGAAGGATGGGAGCACCATGTGAAGTGGTGCACGAACTACAGGTTGTTGAGGAATCGTGCGATGACATGAAAGAGGTTTCGCGATCCGGTTTCAGACGTTTTTGTCGACAAAAAGATGTAGACATCGTGTTGTTGCAGCCCTTTGAACCTATAACTGAGGTTAATGAGGTCGATGGGCCGCGTGAGGAAGTTCCGGCTTCCATGCCCGAATTAGCGGCTATGGATAAAGCCCTTAAGACCCGGGTGCAGAGCCTGGTAGAAAAGTTCAAGGACCGGTTTTCGGAGGTGAAGACGGCGCCTAAAGTGAAGAGAGTGGTAGATCATCTGATTGACACGGATGACAAGGGACCCGTGTCACAGCCTGTGCGACGTATGTCCCCGTTACTCTTGGACGAGTTGAGGTTGAAGCTTGCAGAGCTTCTCGAGAAGGGCATGATACGACCATCCACATCGGCATGGTCGTCACCAGTGCTTTTCGCTAAGAACGCGAGTGGTAAGCTTCGTTTCTGCGTCGATTATCAAGCAGTTAACGAACTCACAAAGCGTGACAGGCACCCCTTGCCGTTGGTACAAGATTGCTTTGATCAGTTAGGGGGAGCGAGGTTCTTCTCGAAGTTCGACCTTCAACAAGGTTTTCACCAGATGAAAATCGCGGGAAGAGACATAGAGAAGACAGCGTTTGGGACGCGTTACGGGCATTATGAATGGCTGGTGATGCCATTCGGCCTGGTAAACGCCCCAAGCACCTTTCAGCGGATGATGAATGATATTCTAAGGGAATATCTGGATGATTTTGTTCAAGTGTATCTTGACGATATCCTAGTGTATTCAAAATCCAAGGAAGAGCATTTGGAACACATCGAGAAAGTGTTCTCGGCTCTTGAGAAGGCAGAATTGAAAATAAGTGGCAAGAAATCTTTAATCTTCGCTGAAGAAATTCAATTTGTTGGGCATATTATCTCACACAATTGTGTTAGAATGATGCCGGAGAAAGTTAAGGCAATTCAGGAGTGGCCAACACCGGGAAATGTTTACGATGTAAGGGCATTTTTGGGTTTGGCAGGGTATTACCGGAGGTTCATCAGGAACTTCGCCAGGTTGGCTAGTCCATTGCATGGATTAACGGCTGGTACTACAACGAAGAAACAAAAGGTGGTTTGGTGTCCGGTACATGATTTGGCGTTTTGCAGTCTAAAGAAGGCTTTGCAAGAAGCACCGGTTCTAACGACACCGAATGCAGAACGTCCCTTTGTAATAGAGACGGATGCAAGCGACCACGCGGTGGGAGCCGTTTTGTTACAGGAAGGAGAAGACGGGGTTGAACACCCCGTGGCTTTCGAATCTGCGAAGCTGAATCCGGCGCAACAGAATTACCCAGCTCAGGAAAAGGAGCTCTTGGGCATTCTGCACGCGTGGAGAAAATGGCGGGTCTATGTCGAAGGCGCTGTAAGTGATACCATCGTAAGGACGGATCACGCGTCGTTGACGTACTTACAACAACAAGTTTTGCCGTCTCGTCGCCTTCACCGTTGGTTGGATGAGTTCGCCGAGATGACAATTAAGATACAATATAAGAAAGGATCGGCAAACATTGTCCCCGATGCGCTCAGTCGGAGGTCTGACCTCATGGAAATTCAAGAAGTAAGAGAGGGCCTGCGGGACCCAAGTGATTGGCCGCTGTTGGTGCCATACATACTTGATCAGCGGGACATACCAGAATGGGTGGACTCCACGAGTCTGCGTATGGCGGTGACAAGTATGCACAAACTGACGTATGACAAGAAAGCGGAAGCGCTGTCGTTTAAGGAAGAAGACTCGCCTTTTGTGCCATTCGATTTTCGGCCGGACCTTCTGGAGGCAGTGCACAGGGAATCTGGACACCGCGGACGTGATGGAACCCTAGCGTTCCTAAAGGGACGTGGTTGGTGGCCTGGACGTTACAAAGATGTCGAAGAATTTTGCAAACACTGCAGTCAGTGTCAAATCTTTGACCGGGCGAGAGAAGGGGTAGAAACGGGAGAGCAAGTCCCGTTGCCTCAAGTTGCGCCGTTCGAGCGTTGGGCGGCGGATTTTATCCAGCTGCCGGAGTCGAAAGATGGTTATAAGTGGGTTCTAACAATCATTGATCATTGTACAGGCTGGCCTATTGCCGTCCCGCTTAAAGAAGCTACTTCCGCGAATGTGGCGGAAACTTTTCTGAGGGAGGTCTTTCAACAGTTTGGAATCCCCTCTGAAATCTTGACCGACAGGGGTCAAAACTTTTTGTAAAAGGACATGATGCGGTTTTACAAAGCCGCGCACATCAGAAAGTTGACAACTTCGGGCTACCATCCTCGCACGAATGGGAAAAGCGAGCGGCTGAACGGGATTTTGGAGGGTACCTTGTTCCGGTTGAACAAGACAGGAGACCCTACCAGGTGGCCGGAATTTTTGTCACAAGCTGTGTTTGCAGTTCGCGTTAATCAAAGTACGGTTACGGGCTATTCGCCCTTTGAGTTATTGTACGGAGTAAAACCGCGGTTGTTAGCGGATAGGGCTAAGATACGCCCTAAAATATTAGAAGACAACCAGAAAAAGAAAACCACCGCTCGAGAAGCTAGACTCGAGCGATTGGCCCTGGATCGAGCTGAGGCTCGGAAATTGCAAGAAGAGAGGGCCTTGAAGAATAAGGCCCGTTTCGACCAGACGCTAGCCGTCAAAGGTACGCTGCAGTCGTATAAGGTTGGAGAAACGGTAAAGCTCCGGAATGAGACAAGAACGAAAGGCCAGCCGAGTTGGCACGGGCCTTTCGAAGTTTTCGACGCGTTGGGCAACAACGTGTATTCGCTGGTGGACCCAACAGGTTCTTTATTTCCTCATCCAGTGAATGGGAATAGGTTGCAGCCTGCGAATTCTAAAGGTGGAGCACTAGTCAAACCGTGGGCACTACCGGCTAGGTTGCAGCCGGCTTGTGACAAGGTGGAAAAAGTGACCGGCGACATAAACAACGAAGTTAAAAAGTTAACTAAAGCTCAGAAAGACGCTTTGAAGATAAAGATAAAGCTGCCGAAAGCGTCCAGTGGAATGGACGCTGTTCAAGGGGGGGAAAGTTGTAGCAGGGTTGCAGTACAACCCGGTACAAAGACCCCATGAGTCACGGGTCTGTCTGACGCCCGGGACAAGCAGTATGACCTAGACATCGACGAGTCGTCGATGGAGTCATACAGACAGATGCAGGCATAGCGAAGTACCGGAATGCTGAGCTACAAGAGTAGTACAGCATCTCAAGATACTTACTCAGATAGAGATGCGAGAACAAACCAAGACTAAGGTTGCTCTCGCCTTTGGAGATTCACAGATGGAGTCATGCCGCTACCATACCTAGAGATGCTAGTAGGGTTCCCAAAGTCCTGGGATCTCGGCAAAGCACTCCAAGCAAGGAACGAATGGCTAAGTTCGATGAATTCTTCATCACGCCATTTGCATACTAAGAATGAGGGTATAGACCCTCACTTAGGAAGCTAACCACGAACCTCACCAGGGAGTATCTTTTCACTTGACTCATTAGATGTATAAATAGAGTCTTCATGTTCAATGCAATTCAGGACCCAGTTCCAACAGTTCAGAATTACTCTTGTTTGGAATACTCGTGCCTTATCCAATTGTTCATCTTTCTGATTCATTATCACAATCAACAATTATCCTTAAGCCACTCAATTCCATCCCTAGTTGTTCGTGAGGTTTCTCCCTAAGAGCATCCGCACTCGTTTGCGGTTGTTAATTTGGTCACGTGCGGTAACAAACACAACATTAAGTAAAAAGTTACTTAACTCAACCAAATTTCGCACTCGTTTGCATTAGCAGCGCTGTAACTTTTATAACTTTACAGATAGTGCATGTACTCCGCACCGGTTGTGCAGTAAGGTAAAGTTTTAATTTTTTGAGTACACATCACCTGCTTTCATGGCCAGTTTTCAAGTGATAGAGGCACTGTTCTCTTCTTTGCACTAAGATACTAATACTCCATCTACACATGAAGACCCGATATCATCCTGTTCATCTACTCGATCGATAGATCTTAATTTAAAATTACAAATTTAACATGAGTTTGTTCAGATCTTAATACATGAATTCCAATTAAAAAACAAAGGCTTTACTACATCGAGAAAGCTTTTAATGAGTCTGAATACACATAATGATCTTGTAAAAGATTTAAAGAATTTAAAACTAGGAAATAAAAATCCAAACTTCAATTTTTAATTTGTATCACTTGATCCTAAAAGTCCTCCAATGATTGGTCTTTTAATGTTGATTTTCTTAAATATTGACCTCTACATAGCTATATGAATCTAGACATCTTTCATTTTCATCTGAATGGTTTGGAGTCGAGTTCAAGATGGTTGATTGACTTATTTCAATTGAAGACATCGATTGGTGTCGAACGTTCTCGAGTTGATTCATGCAACTGTAAGGCTTGGAATTCATCGTGTGTGAGTGGTGAAAAGGAGATATTGGTTGTTGACTTTGGTGTTGGAGGTCTGGTTGAGTTTTGTTTTTGGAGTCGAGTTGCCGGGAACAAGTCGTGATGTGTGATACCGCATGCGTTAGCCAATTGGTAAATTTACCGATTCGCTAACGCAAAATGACCGAAAATTAACTACCGCGGGGCTAATTTTTCACCGGTGTGGAAAAGACCCCGCGTTTGCGGTAAATTTAACCTTACCGCACCCGACTTACCGCACGAGTGCGGATGCTCTAAGTCACTTAACAGATCCCTAATCTAACCCATAGTTTCGGTCCTGTTACAACTGGGAGATAGGCCCTAGGGTGAAGTTTAGTAACCTAAGCTTATGTCAGAAACTGATTTAGTTTTGTCTACTGTTGACTGTTGAGCTGGCTGCTGGAGGTACGATCCCAACCAAATCGATCAATTCACTTCACTTCACTTCACTTCCTAATCAAACCAAAAGCAAAAGCAAAGCAAAACCAAGATAACGTAACCAAAAATGCCAACACCATCTCTTGCAAGAACATTAAAATCCATTCTAAACTTAGTAGACCAAGAAGAATGGTATGCAGCCCACCAAGTAAGTCAACCGCCCCTCATCCCACATAGCCCAACTGCAAGCTAACCTTTCTCCTCTGATACACCCCCCGCAAAAAAAAAGAAATACAGAACTTCAGCCGCTCGACTTTTGAAATCAAATGAACCACAATCTATTCAAGATGCGATTTCATTATTATTTGAAGGATCTAAATTACTCTTACAACGACACCAACTAGGATCAGGAACAGACCTAGGCTTGATGTTAATCCGAGACGTTTATGTATCACGTTCGTATCCCTATACAGAAGAAGAAAGACACAAGCTATTAAATTTGATAGCATTAATTGGAGCTAAGGATAATTGGCGTAAGATGATAATAGATTCATCGATTTCATATTCAACAACCTCACCAGACTTTCCATCAGGTGATCCAGCTTTACATTTCAGTATTGGAGAAATCTATGCAAAGGAAAAGCGTTGGGATTTAGCTGAGATTCATTTACTTTCGGCTGGTGATCAAGATTCAGCCAAGAGTTTATCTAATGTTTTATGGTCTTGGTCTATATTAGAAAAAGATTTACAAGAGAAAAGTTTAGGTAGATATGCAGGAAGAGGAGTGATTGGTTATTTAGAGATCGGTTCGATTACAAGTGCCAAAAGTTTTTTAGAAGATTTTTTAAACAAATCCATCAAACGGTTTCCAAACTTACTTGTTGATTCAATCGAAATTAAACTTAAATCTGATAACTTTCAACCGATTCAAATCTTTTCATTACCTTCTTTAAACTTTTTACAACTCTTGATCTTGACTTGTCAAATCGGTCCTGGTAGCTTACCATCTGGATTACCTGCACCTATTGGTCATACCGGTCCGACGATCGGTAAGGCTGTCTTTCAGGCTATGGTCGGTAGGTATTCTAGAGTTGAGAAATGGATTGGATCTAATCAAATTAAAGAAAGTTTAGATTTGATTGCTGAAATGTATTTTGGGATCAAGTAAGTTTTTTTTGATTTTTTTTTGGTGAAATCGGGTTGGAAATTGATGAGCTTTTTTGGGGGTTGTTCTTGCTTACAGACCTCAGAGACAAAGTGGGAATATCTTGAATGATTTAATGGGATCTCTCTTTTCGGGTGGTGGTCCTCCTGGTCCTGCGTCTCAAGGCTCTAATAGAGGATCTCAAATTCGTGGTAAACCTTCGAGTGGGATCTCTACACCTGCATTAGATTAGAATGATCTTGTACAAACCCCAAAAAAACTATCGAAGAATTACATATTTTATATATTTGAATTTGGGTGTTTTTTTTCGGTGGTCAGGGATCGTTTGAGTTTTGTGGTTGGGTTAGGTTGGGGTTTCAAGTGAAGTGGGTGAGGTTTTGGAGTTGAAAAGTCGTGAATGAATGTTTGGTTTTGAAAGTATTGAAGTTATTTGAAAGATAATCAGTCAACAAACAGTACAGAGTCGTATGTTTCTTTGAAGTTTAAGTTCCTAGCAGATTTTTTTGTTGATGATTTTTTGAGGGATTGAAGTTGGAACCATAGCTTACATGAAAGTCTTGCACAAGTTCTGGTTCAAGGTTAAGTTATGGTTCTGTTCAAATCCGTTGCTCGAGAAATTAATTCTGTTGATCAATTCAATCAATACAAACTCATATTACTCACTTTTTCTAACTTTTTGAAATCATTATAAGAGAAATGAGGTAAAAAAAACTTGTTGAAACATCTCATAGACTCAGCTCATACAATAAGTTGATGTTGAAAGTGTGTAAATCCAAGGGAGTTTGTTAAGCTTTACATAGCTTCAATGTAATTGACATGATCTGACACTGGTCTGTGAAAAAGCTTGTAGCTTCTACTCTACTTCATTAAGCTACTTATGCAATCTGACACATTCAAAAACTCAAAGATTTATGGTATTCAAACCTATGCAAAAATTTCAAGTTTTGAGCAAATTCTGTGCAAGTACATGAATAGAACTTGCATGGATCTTGTATGTCGGTCTCGCACGGTTTTTGTACCAGTTGGAACAAAATACAGTCAAACCCGCGCAAATGCATACCCGCGCAGGTGCATAACCCGTGATAATGCATAGAAAAAATCCAGAATCTTGATGTTTTTTACTGCCAAATTTGACAACAGAAATGCATAACCAGTCAAAATGCATAGCAAAAGTCTTCCACCCAAATTATGCGTTTGCGTGGGTTTGACTGTATGTAGCTGGGGTTGTCAAAAATTTAATGTGCTAGATTGATCCAAGAAATCTTGCACCAATCTTGCACATCAGTCTTGCACAGTTTTTGCACATGTACAGGTTTGAGGACCAGAATTGATCTAGTCATGCTCATAATTGGGTCCTTTTAATGCTTTTTGATCTTTTTGGTCTATTAGGAACAATTATGTACTGATGAGATGAAAGATTTGATGTTAGGATGATCAAGATATCATAGACTTGTATCATATGATAAAGTGTTGATGTTCTTTGAGAATATCAAGTGTGCAAATTCAAGGGATTTTGTTGTAAAAGTTAGACCTATTGCAAATTGCACATTCTGGCACTGAGCCTCTGTGGAAGAGCTTCTTATTCAGCAGCTTACACTGTTATGTATGTATGCAATCTGACATACTCAAGATTTGATCCACTTATCCTCACCATTGGTCCTGAAGACTGCTGTTTGTTCTTTTTGGTATACCAAGATCCACTGCACACTGACTTTTGGGATTTTCCGTCACTTTCAAATAGGTAAGGAAGGATGAGGAATCGAGTTTAATCCTTAGCAAAAAGACTTTTAGACCTTTTGACAATTATGTACAAACTCACACCATGCCTGTGTGGTGTTCACTTGTTGACGAGCGCACATGAGTCACCTTTGTGCCTCAAAGGCAGTCTGTGTGCGCTCATCGTTGGGCGACTGCCACAAGGACATGGTGTCACTGGGTTTATAAACTACATCAAGATTTTCTTCAAGACCATTTATGGGATACAAAATAGAAACCCAGGGTTCTTTCTCAGATCACAAACTACAGCTAAAAAGATTGAGTTGGGAATCTGGAGATCTAGGGAAAAAATTGGAAAACTTAACTTTGAATCCCTCTGGGCCTATCCAACAGATTTGCTACCAGCTTTCACTTCCTTTTTTCTACAATTGCATCAAACCACACATGTGAACACTTGTCATATTACAAACCTCATTCCAACAAAATCTACAATAATGCTCTATGCAAAACATATATGCCTCAACTTGCTTGCAAAAATGCCCTCAAAGTCTCTATCCAATCCAAATTACATCTGAAGAAACCTTTTGATTGATTAAAATGACTGTTCCTTGTCTTTGTTTCTGAACATTCTGCTCATCTTATTCTTAACATTTTGAATACTTTGTATAATTTGTTTGGTTTTCACTTGTTTGATATTCTGATTCCAACATTTTTCACAACTTCAAATGAATGCATTGAAATAGAAATCATTGACATATGCATCTTGAACAAAAGTAAGTACATACATCTTATTTTTACTTATGAAAGATCACTGAGATGTAAGAAGATTATCCCTTAAAATCCACATGAAAATCAATACTTTGGATGTATAAAATGAAATCAGGTTTGGAGTCATTAATTTGATATTATGTATCTATAATTCCTCTGATAGGACATTACTGTTCAAGTTGGTGGCCTGGTAGTCCAGGACAAAACCACAGGTTTCTAGTCTACTTTGTATCTCATAATTGTTATTGCCATTAATAATAAGGGTATTCAAGATTTTAGAAGTGGCACTACCCTTGAGAAGTGTCATAGAGTGATATCCAGAAGTTTCTTAGAAACGTTTCAGACATTTCTTCACCTTGTGGAGGACTTCTGAACTCCATAACCTAACCCTACCATATGTTTTCATGGTGCGCGGCTCCTTTGAGTCCTCTTGAGACTTGCTGCCAGAATGAGACCTGTGGCATGATTGGGTAATATGGATGTGATGTGATGAGAATCAGCACTTGATGGGGCTCTCAAAGCTACAAAGAACACTTAACCAACGTCTGGAGAAACTCCTGGATGTCACTTCTTGAGGCTCATCTCTACTTATACTTATACTTGTCTTTTTAAATAGTCACAAGTTATGTTAACAACCACAAAAATCTTGTGAGTAAAGCTTTGTCATTTTTCTTCAAATCTTCTCAGATCAATTCTTAATCAATTGTACATCATCATCTCAAATGGTCAGGGTATTGAATTCATTGATGATCTAGCCAAATTGTTTCATTTTGAGGTGGATAGACTTGAATTCAAAGGTGTAATAAGAGAGTTTGGATGTGTAAGATTCACTAATCAAGGAGTTCAAAGGTGTTGATTCAGGTGAGGTGTGCAGTAGAGTCAAATGACTCAAATCTGTTCTCTCAATTCTAATTTCTCATATGTATGTAAACCCATACCTTGACCTAACCCATAGTTTTCCCTGCCACGATTTCCCCTTTTTGCCCCAGAGGCCTTCTGTGATAACACATACTCTGTCAAAACCAATACCAAAAGTTGGCCATAAGATAAATATCAAAGACATGTGCCATGATCAAAACCTTGAAAAACGATCGAAATACGTGAGATTGGGTTTAAAGCCCATGGTCACAAGGATTTTTCTTGACTGTTAAGCCACCAGGGGAGTATTCCATATACATAATCTCATTGTCAATGAAAGGATATAATGAGTGCCAGGATGAAGGTGAGGCTTTATATTTCCTTAAATTTTGCAACCATCACAAACTTGCCCGTTGATGCTTGGGAACAAAGATCCCTCTTATCTCTGGACGCACTGAAAGGGCAAAAATGCAAATGACGAAGATTCAAAAACATTTGTTGTAAACAAGGGGGTAGTTGTTGTGACGTTCAAAAAGGTGAACGCGCCAGAAGTACGATAACGATATCGTCTGAGATATCAACGATTGAATTTCACGTTGAGTCGCGTCAGTCGCAAGATAAGGTGGCGCATGACTTGACAGCTACAACCCATGTTCAAGGAGGTGCAAGGGTGACTTGTCCACGTCTTAATTGGTGTAGCGACCCACCAGTGTCTGATTGAGCCTTGCCAGGAGCAATGCTGATACACACCACTCTCCATGGGCCTTGGTTAGTGCTGGTGGTATGTAAGGAGCCACTTCAGGTCGTGCGCAATTTGGCTGAAACCTGATCGGGGATATCCTACTGGTCTTGATGTTCGTTTCAGCGTTTTATATCTTGCCTCTTAATTCATTTTCCAATGGAGAAGCCAATCCGTGTCAGACCTGTACGCTTTCGTTATCCAGTTCGTTGTCTCTATACCAACAAGGGGAGAGACGGACGTGGCTAACTTCCATGCTTTCGTTGCTACCACCTAACCCTGCTACATACCTATCGTGTCGCGTACATGGAATGTCCATTGCACCAGACCTGCGAGACTGCCACCCAAAATGTTTCTACAAATCCACCCGCACAACTCTAAGCGTCCGACCTTGCATTCCATGTTTTTGGATCGGAGGGATTGATAGAAGCAACCTGTGTTGAAAAGATGTGAAATCGTCGAATGAGGAAAGGAATACCAAAGTGTCCAAACATATTCTTGGCATGAAGCGCTAAAATATGCTATATACAAAATGCACGAAAGGAAAGGCGCTTTAGGACGTCTTGACGCGTATCCAAACTCCTTTCTGACACCTCCCCTGTCCTTTGCTTTTTCAAGTCTTGATTGGACCATATCGTTCAACAGGTTGACAGACAAAAAGTTTCCGTGTGTGTTTCAATAGTGATACAACCTCAATCGTACTTCCGCATTCGTTACGACGCCCATGGACGTGGAAGGATTCGGCAGCGACTGTTCAGATTTGAAGCTCAAGCGGGGGCGACGTCGCGTTGCGTTTCAAGAAGTTGAGGGACTGACTGGTCACAGATCGCTGGGAGTTCATGATTCTAGGTGTACCAGTAGACTACTGGACGCAGGTATCTGTTCCCCTCTCAGTTCCCCTCCCCAAGTAGTATCGTTGCCTTTTCCACATTGGCTTTTTCGTCTCATCCAGAACACTCGTCACTCATTTGATTGCGTTCGTATCTCAACTTCAACACAACCATACCCGTTAATTATAAAATAAATCTAAATTTATACGCCGGTCTATTCACTTCGATATATCTACGTTCCAGAACATTGGGAAATCTGTTAGTTCTCTCGAACAGTTGTGAGTCATTCGGATCCTCTCTTTACTCAGATCCTCAAATTTACAAGTTTGCTCAAGACCCTTGTGATACAACATCCTACAGGGCTCGTCTACCCTCCAACAGGCGAGATGATGCTTTCAACTGCATATACACTCTTTTTCTCTTCTACTATGATGCTCCATATTCAAGCTTTCCCTATTCCTGATTACAATCCCCCCTTCAAACTCAATCGTCGAATGGAAACAATGGGTCTGGAGAGGTCTGCTCAAACGGCCGCAGAATTCGCCCACAATCCTACCGCGGCTCATGACGCGTTTAGGAGTACAACTATCGAATCGCCTTTTCATTCCTCGTCCCCGTATGAATATGTACCTGAGCAATTCCCCGCTGGGAGACGTGACGAATTTTCCCCCCACACTGCCGTCGATTCTGATTTTCGATTTGAACGTCCGAAGCCTATCCCAGATCGTAAAGCGTCTACTGCTTCAACCGTTGGCCGACCCGGTGTACTCAGAAACCTTGCCTCCAAGCTAGAAAAGACAGCTAATGCACTCGACCACAAGCCGCTTTCTATTCGAATTTACGAGGGTACGGGAATGAAGGCATTCGTCAAATTCTTAGGTCTCACAGGCCGTGCCATGAAGTCTGCCGGTAAACGTGCAGGCTCCCTAGCCGTCAAAGGCGTAAAGAAAACAGGAACTGCCGTGAAAATTACTGCTCAATACACTCTGGGATTTACTGTCGCTGGGGGGCTAGCAGTCTATGATGGTATCGTAGGTTTGGTAAAATGGACAGGTCGCTTGGCAGCATATGCGGCGGTGGGTACTTACAAGGGAGCAAAGAGGATTACACAATTACTCGCCTTAGGAATCAAAACAACAGGAAAGGGTGCTAAAACAGCAGTGGGTGCAGCTGCAAAAGGTGCAAAATCGGCTGCCGTAGTCACAACTAAGGGAACAAAGTCAGCTGCTCGAGCAACATTAAGGGGCGGGAAGATAGCTGCTAAATTCACGGCTAGAGGAGGGAGAAGAGCAGCCAAGCTCATTGATCGAGGTACGAATAATGCTAAATTTCGCATCGCAAACACCATCGCAAGGAGTGGAGAAAGGGTTAATCGGCTGGGCATGGACATCATTGAAAAGGCTATCGCTAGGAGTGAGGAAACTGGCGAGCCGATAAAACTGCCGCAGTGGATCTTACTGAGACAGAAAAACAAACAACCTTCGATCCCAGGCATCAAGCGCAAGCAGTCCTTCAAACTGGCTCCAGCTCGGTCACCAACTTGGCCTAGGACTGCGCACTCAGGTCCACTATGAGTGAGTAAAGCCCAATCTCCCTCAAACATTAAGTCGAACAATTTCCGAATCCTTTGTCATTACGTTTTTTTTTGATAACAGCCAATGATTAAAGTTTCCCTAAGCTTGAGCTCGATTGTTTTTCCGATACTACTTTTCACATTCCAAGTAAGTTCTAATGGTTTGCGGTTGAGGTTCTGATTTTGTTTAATCGATGCTGAGCCCCCGGTAGCAGGTATTGACGTGAACTTTATTCCCTTCACAGTTGTCTGTTCGCTTTAGACGTTACCCTCCTTTCCATTTGTATCCCCTAAATGATTTGCTTGCGGTCCAACTGACCTGAATCTTTCAGCCATGACAACATTTAATCGTTTCTCTTTCGTTCTTTGATGTACATGTTGTTTATAACCTACTCCTACAATAAACTATCGCCTCTTGGCTTTCTTCCAAACCATCCTACTTTCTAAATCGACAATATCTCCAACCAAAAAACACGTATTTGACCGGTGTGTTGGGTTATATATTTTTTGTATGTCTTTATCTGGAGCTACTATATACATACATGAATCTAGAACACGCTTCAAGGAGCTGAAAAATGAGCGTTTGGGTTGTGAAATGCGCCTTATACTCCTTTCGCACACTGAAGTTATGATACTCATATGATATGATTCCTCGTAGCTCCTGCTGAAGTGTCAATCAGTGATCTTTTGTGCCATCCGCGTCAGGATTGAGTGTATCTCGTACGCTAGAGTAATTTGGCACTCAAAACAAAAAATGTACCTTGTCGGCAGTTTTCTTTGTTCAGCATATGATATTTATTCTGTAGATTTAACTTCACATCGATGCAAGTATTCAATTTAAGCCTTACTTCAATTTTCCGTGTGCCATTGCCACTGTCAGTTTGGCTGGTCTTACATATAACTCAGCAAAACCAAAAGCTTCCTACATCCTTGGACTCAGGCCTCTTCAGGCTGTTTTAATATGCTGGGTTATGGAAGACAAACGCCCTGTGAAGGTTGACGCCGTGGGTCACTAAAAAGGCAAAGTTCATGGATCGTCTGATCCTAGCTATCCTCAAGGAAACCTTTGTTGAGTAGGTCACGACAAGTCTTTCACAGTGTCGATTAACCTGTCCACTATAAAGCTCACTCTCTAACCTCGATGCCCCAAGAGTCTCCAAGTATCCCACGAGTTTTACTCATCTGTCCATCCTGATGTATTCTAAAAATCATGAAAAGTTTTAATAAGGTAGATTTACAAGCTGAGGAGCAAAGGGATTGGTCCATATCTGACATTCAAGCAATGCAGTGTAACTTTAAGAAATAACGAACGAACGAAAGAACGACTGCGATACTGTAAGAAAGGGAGTTTCGCCAAACTAAGTGTCGGGAAATTCAGAAATGAAGGTATGCGACCTGAAATACTCAATGATACTCAATAAAAAAAATCTAGAATCTTTTAGCCTGCTCGGGTGACGCGAAGATTGTTGTAGGGATTATCTGACAACGCAGCAGGTTCGGGTGGCATAATATGATTTTCTGTCATATCAGGTTTCGGCCTCAGACGATTAGGTAGGTGCCACTTTTCCCGGAAGCGAGACTGGACGGCAGAAGCCTTATGGAACAACATTGTGGCTCGATTGGAACGGACGGGCGTTGTGGGCATGGACACTGATAGAGATTGACCCAAGACATGAGCGGAAGAGCAACAAAAGTTGGATGCCCTACAGACGCAAATCAGAGAGAGTCGTCAGACACTCAATGCACATCAATCATACTATCAATTCAATCTCTCACCATGGACTAAGAGGAAGTCCGATATCCAGTCGGTGTGGAGGTTCTAGCTGCGTTTCATCTGAAACTTTTCTCAAGATCTTGTCAGAACAAGCATCGTAGACTTTGAATCAAACGAATTCCACTAACCTTTTATGTCATCATGGCCTTCTGGACCGCAAGGATTTTTTATGACCAAAGTCGCGGAGCAGCAAGCCAATTCTCTAACCCCCAATTTCGAGTTTGGATGTAGTTTCGGAATCTGAAAGCTCCAGGCGATTCCAGGATCTTGGCGCCTTCGGGGAGACAAGATGGGGTTCAGGTATGCGGTTTTCTTCAAAAACAAGCAGGCCACTGTGATGCTGGTTAAGAAGAAGAGGATGATCATCGGGAGAACAAGTGCGATTAAAGTAGTATGAGAAGAGTCGTTTGCGTCTTGTTGATTACTCGAAACAATATCTACATCTGATGAGAGGTCGTTCCCCATACTAAAAATGAGCTAGAACAGTTCCCCGGGATGAAGGTATGGGATATGTGTACGGTGTCGTCAAAGCTCACTACTTGCCAGCAAGGGGAGCAAAAAAAAGAGAAACGAGAAAAGCAAATGTAAGAGAGGTTCTTGGAGTTAGAGCATGTCTTGCAACTTTGAACGACCTTCTAGCGTTATAAGAGCAAGAAGGCTGCGCTCTCAGAAGGTTCTTTTGGCCAGTAATAGACGATCCTGAACACGCGCAGAAGTAGATCCAAGTGAACGGAAACAAGAACACCCAACCGCGAGAAAAAATGAATACTATCAGTAGCCCAATATGGACATGAGTTTTGGGACATGATTTCACTTTGATTGCTGGGCGCATCCTCACCAGCGCGGCCCAAAGCCATAATGATCGCCTAAATGAGAGAATTCAAGGTTACTGATGTGGGATCCAGAACGAAATTCGAGTGGGTTAGCGGATAGCAAAACTGAAATAAGTGGCTAGCCGCTTGGGGCTCCTTGTATCTCCTGCCAATCTCAACAGAAAGGAAGCTCACAAGTCCAATGCGATCAAAACGCTTCAATTTGAGTTGACAAAACTTCATATGATATCATCTGCTTTCGAGGTGGCTTGTGATAGATTGAAATTGCACTTGAGAAACCAGTCAAAGTAGACTTCTTTGGTAACCAGAGACAAGGTCAATGGTTAACGACTTGAAAGAATGTTACGAGAAGACCAACAAAAAGATGGACAGACCTCACTGTCAGCATTTTTTTGTGAGCTGCAACAACTAATGGCAATAGAAAATATTATTTGTTGCCTGCGTCTGTTACGTGGCTTTGGACTCTGGAGGAAGGGCAGATGTGCATGCCGCCTGGCTTGCCAGTTCCCTGGCCACTCAGCAGACATTCCACTCTGATCAAAACAATGAAATGTCCTATTTGTAGTATCACTCCACTATAACTCTTTGCAGTCAGTGATTATCAATTATGTTGAGCGTCAAGTGAGCTCAGCGATCTTGCAAATTCCTCAGACCAGAACCGTCATAAGAGTGGTATGTGATCTGGAATTTGTTTAACAAAGCACAACTTTCCAAAAAAAAAGAAGACTGCTCTGCTTCGGATTCAGTTCGAAAAAAGATGGTCATCAAAAGTTTGTGGCATTGTTAAAGTCAATACAAGTGCTTTCGACGGCTGAAACTTTACCTTGCCAAAAATTTTCCAACTTGCAGTGAGCTCATGGAAAGATGCCACTGGACTCTTCAGACTCACTGGATTTTGTCTAAACCTCTTATCCTCTTGTATTGCTGCTCTTGGACCATTTATCAAACTGAAACGCACAAACGAACATCAACAAGGATGGCAAAACTGACTTCATGATAGTGACGTAAAGATAAAATTGAATACTAAAGATCTTTTCTTCTTCACTCTTTACAAAACGATATCACCAGGAATCCATAAAAAATTCAAACTGATAAGAAAACCATATTCAAACTACAAGTTAAAATTTAATAAAGTCAATCTTGAGGATACATATACAATTTTGTAACAAATACACTTTGAAATAATCTCACAAAAACTGTAAAAGAAGAAAACAAGTGAGAGGAAAAGTAGGAAAATAATTAATAACGTTTTTGAAAGTTCGTCAAGGTTCTCGTTAAAAAGAAAAAAACAAATACGAGTTTTAAATAAGAAAAAGTAGGTTGAACAAAAAGGATGAGTCAAGCAATAAGTTGATACAGTATGACACAGAGAAGTGACCAATCCACTAAGTTTTATTTCGAAGGATTCTGACCATAAGATCTCAAACCTGGAAGTGCCACAGGGTGAGGAGGCGGTACTAGAGCATCAGTTACTGGTGGTTTGACTGATAAACGACTAGGTAAATGAGATCTGAAAATCCATTGAGAAGAATGTCGGGCATTCATAAACTTTTGAGCAATTTGTAAAAATGGACCATCGCCAGATGTACGGTCAGGAGTACGGCCAGGACTCTTGGGGACCGGGGATTTGACCGCAGAGATGTGGATTGTCGAGGTAGGGCGAGAGGCATGTACATCCAACCTGTAGTATTTAGACGTTATGAATGTTCGTGATCATGTGTGTCAGCAGCTAAAGTAGGACTACAGAAGGAAAATCTTGGTTAAAAAGCATGCTTACGAATGATCTGGTTGAAGCCGTTCGACGGCTGTTGGGTCAAGGTAAGGTAAATCCGTATGAAGGACATCTTTATCTATACAAGATCATGACAGAGTTTAACATCGAAGTAGCGGGCTTGGAAAGAATATATAGAACTGACCTTTTGTTTGGTGATGAGTCTGGGAGAACGAAGAAGACTCATAAGTTGATGTAGTTCCTGATCTTTGTAACTCGGATTTGATATCCTGAGTTGCAAACTGCTCAGGCTCTACCACTTGAAATGACCATTCACTGGCATTGTCCGAGTGGCTTCGGGAAGATCGCTTGTTTCGTGAATGAACATACAAAATTGCCGACATTGCAACTAATAGCAGTATGAAGATCGGAAGAGCGATGGCTACGATAGTAGTTCGGGATAAGCCTTGTTCGACTGTCTGCGAGCTTGGATTCTCGGATCCTTTCGATCCCGAGTCTGCCGTCGAATTAGTCAAACGTACGAGATTTAAACTCGGTATGTCAGACTGAGGAGAGGTTGGTTTTTTTGATTGGGGAGCGCTGTTGAATGCTACTGAATTGAGAGGCACAGAAGTTATGTTAACGGCCATGGTTGAGTTCCCTATCTTTGCTGGAGTAAACGTGGAAGCCTCCGATCCAGTGGGCGAAGAACTGGCCGACCACTGATACGCAGAATTATTTGTCGGTTTCTTATCCACCACAGATTTGTCTACACCGCTAGCCAGTGGGATGTCAAACGACTTATGGCGTGACTCCTCTGATGTATTGGTTGATGCAGACGTCGTCCCAGTGGTTCCGTGTGAGGAGCTCTTCGATGAAGAATTTTTGGAAGACGAAACACTTGGTGTCCAGGATGAAGCCGGGGTTGGCGGAGAGGAATCATCCGACGCATCAGTTTCGCGAGATGGCGAAGGAAATACCATCACACTTGAAGGATCATCGCTCATTGTCGAGTTGGAATTGTGCTTTTTACTATCAGAGTGTGAGCTAGCGGACCCGTAGGGATTGGTGGAAGTAGGAGAAGAATCTTCGACTGGTGATGCTGGGTAGTCATCTGAATCTGAATCTGAATACATTATATCATCCAAATAGTCCAATGATTCTTGAAAAGATGGGGGAGATGGGGAAGTCGAACTTGTCGACTTCGGCTTGCGACTTGAACGCAACATCCTGCATAAATCTAATATCTAATTATCTCGAATGTCAAACTAAGATGTACCTCCCGGTGGGAATCGGATTGACTGACGTTTTGGTCCTTGGAGAATCAAGTCCACAGAGGTAGAATAATCGTCGTGTGAATGAGAATTGTATCTCGATACGAAGACAGGAGATGGAATCCCAGCTCCCATCAAAAACAAAACAGATGGCGAAATGAGCCGAACTCTCAATCACAAAAGTCCATTCCTTCTGAATAACAAAAGAGATGTTGACACGGTTGATATGCGTGATTCTGATATAGGTTCACTAGGATATCATCAAAGACTAAAGAAACTCATAATCGACGAATCCAATCACCATGAAACGATGTAATCTCATTAAAAAGTTGAATTGCAAAACACCTTTGAGCTCGTCGTTAAGGATCGATAGTTTGCATATCACGCAAGAGTTACACGTGAACGATATATAAGTCAATTGCGGCAGAGGTCCATTCATCACCAAGCATCCGTGTGAATGCGAGCATTAAGAACGACAAGATCCAAGAGTCTCTCATCACCGTTAGGAAAGAAGGTGTTTAATCGTACCCAGCCGAGCTTTGAATAGGTGTTAATTACACCGGTGGTTAATTACTTGCTGAATCGTGAGTATGCATCAAGAGAACGCCAGATTGCAGGACGTAGATCATATCGTGAATCTCTCATAGGACATGCAGCAATCAATAATTGATGTGAGCGACTGAAGGCCGTATTGGGGATAAACAAAAGTTGAGAATGGCTCAAAAGACGATCGAAGCAAGAATATGATAATTAGCAGGAGGGCTCGCATCATCATCACAGTCGAACTTGAAGTTAACCCCATGGTCGCTGACCGCCGTTCAAGGTGCGCTGAGCGCGCCGTAGTCGAGGTCCGCGCCCGCACAAGCTTATCTCTGGACTCTGTATGGAGTTCGCAGGGGCTGTGCACGTAGACCGCAGCCCTAGTGTGGTAATGAGTAGACTCCCAAATAGGTTTGGAAGTGAAGCTCAGCCCAGTTAAAGCCCGAATCAAACCCCCCCCCTTTGAGCTTTCCTCGCCCATACTGATTCTGCCTCCCAACCAGTATCAACCATGTAGGTCTCTTAACCTTTCCACATCTTATCACCATCAACTTCACTCTATGCACCTATCAGGCCTTCTCACTCGCTAACCCCTAATGCATTTTTCTTGACTTGCAGGAGAGACAAGTGGCACAAGAAACGTGTGCGTCGATAAAACGAAAAGAAGAAAAATGCGCGCTCGTTCCAGTTAGTGATTCTTGACCTTTTCGATTCCAGACTTCAGCTTACTGATCTACATTGTTTCATGTTGAATAGAGTGAACGAGATTAACCCATAATCTACCGAGCCGAGTCGAACCACCCATACCTTCCGGCTGAGCTCAAACTATCACATCCTCTTCAACCTATGCAAACCCTACAATCGATCTCAACACGTTGACTAGGGGATATTATGTTTACCGATCACTTCGATCATGTGCTGGATTGGTATTTGATGAAATCAATGCATTAGGACCTATCTCCATACCTTCTGCTCTGGCTATTGTGCCACTTGCTTGCCCTCCATTAGAGTCCCCTCGACTTTAGGTCTCTGCCTACTTCATTGCCCGATTATAGCCCAGTCGGACGGCACTACTCCTGAGATTACTATGTGCTTGCCAACTCTACATATACACCGTCTGCTGACTAAATGTCCGTTGCTCCCTCCCATGAGCCCCTGGTTTCAAGGAGATTCAATGTCCTCCAAGACGCAGCGGCTCGGCTAGAGCCACCCTGCCACCTATGCATATTTGTGACCTTGCAGTGGCTGTTCACAGTACCTCGCTGACCCTGCACACATTGCAGCGGATAGACAGTGCACCAACCCATCGTCCGTTCACCCCTTCGGACAGTGTGACATCTACATACGAGGCTTGATGCGTCTCAAGAACTGGATTTCAATTCGCTAGTGGCAAAATATTGAGGGGCTGAAGTTGCAAGGACTCTGATTTTCGACTTTGTTGACCCCGTAATCCAAGGCTGCTGCAGCTTGCATCTCGTATTCAAAATCTCAGTATCTTCCTTCTTGAAAGTTGTTTGAGGAAACGCATACAAAGCAACAGTGTTGCAGGATATGCTTTAAAGCTGAGATGTGCCCAAGCCCGAATTATTTGAACAGACCTTTGGTCCAAGACAGCAAGTGAAATAGAGTCAAATGGCTTTAATTACCAGTCGTTGTTGTCTGATATCTATCATACATACCTCACTAAAATGCCCACTTCCTGTCTTTCTAAGTTCTGGGGCCTTGATCTCCTCACCAAGATGTTCCTCGGACGCAAGGGCCGTATGAATACGTAAGTAGGCTCTTAGTACCTGTTGCACAAGGAATAATTGATATAGGGCTCATCAGAAGTATTGATGACACATGCACCTGTGGTTATTGGTATGGAAAGTTTTCTTGGTACTTGTAGAAACGTGGTATCAGTTTGATGAGAAGAAAAATTTACCAGAACGTACATACCACATAGTAGATTGGATACACTGACAAGATGAAAATGATTTGTTCGGAATTTAAAACTTTTATATTCAGGATGTGGAAAAAATGGGAAGAGCATTAATTTATTCAATAAAGCAAAGATGGAATCTTTGTGATCCGGCTATACTAGCATCGGGAGAGGGTCATCATATGCAAGGCAAATGACAAGGTCACACTGTGATTTGTGCAAAGTAGATATGCTAGAGTTGACTGTTGATAAGTCTGAGTATGTATGAAAGGTATGCGCGAAGCATTTTTCATTTTCATCGTCGGGTTGTTCAAGAATTGATGTGGTCGAGACCATAGAGGCGCAATAGACAAAACATTACGCGTTAAATGCAAGAAATAAAAAGAGATACTACTACAAGCGAGATTGAGAGAAGAAATTACTGCTGATATATTAAATAAAGAAATGTGTGCAAGGATACAAGAAGACTAGAACGAGACAAGCAAAAAAAAAAGAAAAACATCAGAACACAAATGCTAGAACACCAACTGGACCTCCACAAAACCCCTGTCACATCATTGCTTCTTGTCATGACCCAACAAAATCTTCATCTTCTTACTAAAGTCTTGCCCAGATGCCTCCGTTAGTGGTCGTTTCGTTGTTAGTCGGACTCGAGCCTTTAAAGGTTTATCGTGCTTAGAGTCGTAACAAATCCGATCTGACATAACGTGTAGGGATTTAGTCCGGAAAGTCGACAAGATCTTTTGAAGTGGAATCTCATCGACAGGGGGGCAGGGTTTAATGACCGAAGGTCCAGCTTCCATACTCGCTTGCACCGGATTAGAGTTCTCCTTGGCCGATGATCGAGATGTAGATGCTTGCGGATTTGTGTCTTCGGTCGCCTCCTGTCGACTATTGTCCGCCGGTTCATCATGAGACGAATATCCGGAATCCCCTTTGCCATCCCCAGCCTCGACGCCTTCACCATCCTCAAGCTCCCTGATGTCTTCATTCGATCGATAATGATGTCGATTAAGATTGTCGGAAGTTGATGAATGTTGGTTTAGATCGTCAACATGAGCGGCTTCTGGCTCAAAATCTCGAGATTCCTCCAATATGTCTGATTCGTCCGACAAGTCTTGTGAATGGTCATCAAATGAAGATGCCCGGCTTCGGTTTGGCGTGATGAATCCACTTGGAAGAAGCCCTCGTGGTTCATGGTTGATTAAAGAGCCGTTGACTCGGGAGAGATCATGAAGAGCATCCCTGAATTGCCTCCGACCAATGAGACCGTCGTTGAATCGATTGCAGAGATTCGGAAATAAGTCCCGTTTAGGACTCGCGGAAGCAATGGCGCGATCATTTCTAGCGTTCCAGTTTGAAGACATTTGGGCAGTATGCCAGTAAGGGTCCAAGATTACTTCGTCACCATATGGCTTTGCGTCCTTCTTCGTATAACGTGTTGGGAGTGGACGAGCACGTCCGGGGATGCCGTTTTGAGATGGCGAATGCAAGTACTCTAGAGTAGATACCACAGAAAGAGATAGTAAAAATCAGTATACGCAAAAAAAAGAAGTCAAAGCATCAAGAAAGTCTTCTCACCTTTGAGGATAGGATGATTTCTTATTGGGGCAACCGTAAAGCTTTGACGACTGGGGCACATAGGTGGGAGTGCCGCGTTGCGATGGGTAACACCATCGACTTGGGGAAGGAGGTAAGAGGTAGATTGGTATGCCATTTCGACTTCAAGAAGATTGGAAGATGTAAAGGTGAGGATATATAAATATATCTAGATGATAGTAGAAAGAAGATTTAAGAGTAAGAAGGCTGGTGAATGTGCCGAGAAAGTGAAGGAAGCGGGGTAGGTAGAGCTGTTTATCAAAAAGGGTTATAAAGGTATTGCGAGGTTTTGATAATGAAGCTTTGTGAATAGATAGCGTGATGGATGAAGGAAAAAGAGAAGGATACCTGGGGGGAGCAGGCCTACTTATACGCTTTCCAGTGGAAAGCGACTGAGTCATGATTCGCATCGCGCCCTCATCTCAGCTGTTGTTCCTTACCAGATAGGTGAGTCAGTCTGCATTCCTTGAGTCTACCGTCAAAGCAGTGTGCCTCACCAAGTCATTTCTTAGGCCCGAATAAAATCTCGGTCGCAAGTGATCAGTGCTGAACCTCGCCATCTTTTCTAATCTTCGTTTTGGTCCTGAATTCCATAGCTCAGGTTCTTTTTTGATCCAGGAATCGCAGTGAATCAAAGACTTGGCCATTTTCTGAAGTGTACCTGCCACGTCGGATCTTCATCACAGCTGCTTCACATATCATACTGATGCTTGATCAGGATGAAAGACGGATCGGATTGAGAAAGGTAGAACTTTATGCTGCCGCAACTGTCTACATAGTCCCTGAAGAGTTCTTCCACAACGCAAAAGCTCGTTCATCAAGTCACAAGTGGTAGCCAATGGGTGAGCCGATCGTTTCATGTCGATTAAATACTTTTGAAAATGTTAGACTCGTGACCGACTATCAGGTAAAGAGGTACGCCCAGATTGTTTTTGTAACTCACAAAGCGCCAACTTCAAGGTAGTCAGACTAATAATTTGATGAGTCTATTGCAATACAAAGAAATCCCAACAAAGAACTCGAAAAAAGTCAAATATGTAGGGCAGTTTGTTTACCTCGAGAGTCGAGAGGCTCAATGTTCCTGATATCTGGTCAAAGCGCGACATGACGAGGGTTGAAACTCAGTTCGATCCAGCAAAACATTTGTGACTACATCATGATCAGTCATTTTGAAACCCCGACTTTTGAAGGTAAAAGCAATTATCTGACCATGTCATCTGGACAACATGTAGTAGTGGTTCTCTTCAGATGTTCATGATACAGCAAAGAAGTACATAGGAGAGAAGTGGGGTACATTTTTTCAAAAAGTAAGGGATGTCAAGTTGGAGTTCCTTACGGTTTTCGTCGTGAAACACTTTCCCGCTGTAGCATAACTCTGATGTCTAGCCTGTTTTTGTAAAACATAAACAGTTAAGCTTACAACATGTGATCAAAGAACTCACCTTGACTGTTTCACTCTTGGAAACTGGTGGGCTTGATAGTAAGATGCAAGGCCTTGCATCCTCTTACCAGCACTTTTTGTATGACTGGGTGGATTACCAAGGTAAAAAATCAAAAAATCCTCCATTGTGGTTTACTGGCTGATATAGGACCACAGAAATATTGTTGATGGCAAAATGGTATGAAGATTTGCGCTGTTGGTTTTTTTGTTGCAAAAATTCAAACTTGACACCCCCTAGTGCAAGATGATAGGACTTGGCTTGATGGGACAAGATGCAAGAGATAGAAAGGGCCTTCAGGTATTGTAGTTAGATTGCTAAGTAAGGAAAAGAGTCCCTGCTCTACGCATCACAAGAAGTCTAGATGGTACAGTATAAGCATACAACAGGTAAGCCTTATACAAGTAAGGTCATAACACCACTCCCCCTTTAATGTCTCGACCTCCTCTTGCAGGCCAGCATCTTTCCACGGGTTGGCATTAAAAAACCCATTGGGAAAAAGCCTCACCCTCTCTACTTTCTCCTTGACCTTCTATATCTTACTTCAGCTTGAGGATATTTTTGATTAAATTCATTCACTAGTTCTTGAGCATTTTGAAGGTTGCTTGACGGTTCCCACGAATCGTGTTCTTCTCCGTACCCTTTCCAGTTAATTAAATATTCTACATTCTTGCCTTTCTTTCTCTTATCCAATACTTCATTAACTTCGAATTCTTCATTTTCATTGATTATTACTGCAGGTGCCGGGGTTGCTTCTTGTCCTTTAATTGAGCTTGGATCATACTTCCGTAATAAGTTAACATGAAAGACAGGATGTATTTTGCTCATGAATTTGGGTAGTTCAAGTCTATAAGCGTTAGTTGAAACTCGTGCGGAAATTACAAATGGTCCCATCCAACGATGTGAAAACTTAACAGTGGGTCTTGACATTGACATGTGTTTGCTATTCAGCCAAACTTTGTCTCCCTTCTCCCACGACGGTGTGTTGTTTACTTTTCGGTCATGTTGTTTCTTCATCTCTTCTTGCGTTAAGTTCATCGTATCCTTTAATTCTCTTTGCACCATCTTGATCTGCTCCAATCGGTTTTCTACTAGTGGTACACATTGCGTGCTCGCAGGAACATCTGTGAAATTCACATCAAACCCATAGTTAGCCTTGAATGGTGATATTCCTATTGCAACATGTTCATTATTGTTATATGAAAACTCTGCAAATGGTAGCAGGTCAAACCAGTCATCTTGCTTATAAGAGGTGAAGTGTTGAATAAACAGTTCCACCGCCTTGTTTGTGATTTCCGACTGCCCGTCAGTTTGCGGATGATAAGCGGTTGAAGACTGCGTTTTGATCCCCAATTGTTTATGGAAGTCTTTTGTTATTCTGGAAATGAAAATGTTTCCTCGATCCGACGTTATCGTTCTTGGGGTGCCATGTAGTCTCCAAACTTCTCGAATCATCAAGTCAGCTAGTTCTTTTGAGGTCATGCTTTTCTTGCAGGCTATGAAATGAGCCATTTTTGTTAGTCGGTCGACCACGGTGAGAATACTATCATACCCTCCTGATTCCGGCAAGTCCGTAATCAAGTCATAACAGATATCGAGCCACGGTCCTTCAGGAATAGGCAATGGTTGCAATGATCCAAACGGTTTCTCGGTTCGAGCCTTCACTCTTTGGCATGATTGACAACCGTCCACATATTTGTTGACAAAGGCCTTCATCGACGGCCAGTGATAGGCTCGTTTAATCAGAGCTAGCGTTCTCATTCATCCTGGGTGCCCAGCCAGCTTGCTGTCATGTCTAGAACGCAAGATTTGAACCTTTAGATCAGTATCACATGGTACAACGATTTTGTTTTTGAAATATAAAATTCCATTCTCCACTTGGTATCCTTGTAGATGTTTCGAGTTTGGCATTTCTTCGCACAGCCTGATCAATTCCTTGATGTGTTCATTGCCTCCTGCTTTCTCTTTGATTAGTTCGATTAAATCTGAATCTCGTAATATTTGACGGTTTGGTTCCATTTGCTCTTCTTCGTTTAGTCTATCTTCTTCACTCTCTTCAAATAGATCATCATTTTCAAACCACATTTCAGCAATTTCTAGCTCATTCAAGAATGCGTCAGCCGGTAAATTTTCGGGTTTTAATAACTGTCCAAATGTCAGTTTGGTTCCTTCAGCAGGTGCAAAGTCTGGCCTGCGCAACAATGCATCTGGCTTAGTTGACTGTTTACCGGGTTGAAAACTTATCTCAAAGTCGAACGTGCCCAGAGTTTCGGCCCAGCGCGCCTGTCGTCTTGTAAGTTCCTTGGTTGTCATGAGGGATTGCAAGTTTTTGTGATCAGTGTACACTATAACCTTGAGCCGGTGTGGGTTACCTTCAAGGTACTGACGCCATTCCTTGAAGGACGCCACTACCGCCAAGAGTTCTTTATCGAAGATCTCATAGTTGCGCTCTGCTTGAATCAAGGATCGTGATAAGTAAGCAATGGGGTGAAGTTCGCCATCGTCATTAGATACTTGTGAGAGAACAGCTCCTAATGCGTAATCCGAGCAGTCGCATTCCAATACAAATGGTTTGTATGGGTCTGCTATTTTGAGTACCGGTGCCGTGGTGAAGGCCGTCTTGAGTGCTTCAAACGCTTGATTTCGTTCCTCATTCCATGTAAATTCAACATCTTTCTTGGACAATTCATTCAACGGTCGTGCAACTTTGGAAAATTGATTTATAAATCTTCTGTAAAAATTGGCGAATCCTAAAAAGGTCTGAGTGTCGGATAGGTTCTTTGGAACTGGCCAATCCTTGACCGCTTTCACCTTGCTTGCATCCATTTTAATCTGATTTTTTGAAATGATTAAACCTAAGTAAGAGATTTCTTTCTTTGAGAACTTGCACTTTTCGGGTTTAAGCCAAACATTTTGAGCCTTCAGGATGTTCAATACTTCTTTGACCACTGTCTTATGATCTTCTCCAGGGCCAGTATAAATGAGTATAACATCCTGATATGCCGCAACATTGCGTCCTATGTGATTCTTCAGTATATCTTGTATAAAAAATTGAAAGAAGCCCGGAGCACCTGTTGGACCAAAAGGCATTGTAAGTGGTTCAAATTGTCCAGCCTTACAGATGAATGCTAATTTTGCTTCGTCTCCTTCTCGTACCCGAAGATTGTTATATCCGTTCCGCATGTCCAAGCTGGTGAATTTGTCAGCATTGAGTAAGCTATCAACTAGTTCCATTGTTAAGGGAAGAGGGTATTTGTTATTAACAGTTACAGCATTCAGCTTTCTATAATCAAAGCAAGGTCTTAGATTGCCGTCCTTTTTTTCGGTGAATAGAACTGGAGCCGCCCAAGGAGATGTAGTGCGTCTTATAGTGCCATTTGCCAAACCCTTAGTTATCATTTCATTTAAGACTTCACTTTCTTTTGGCGATAGGGGAATTACTCGTCCGGCCTGAGGAGTTGCTCCTGGAACAAGGTCTACCCGGAAGTCGTATGGCCTGTGAGGAGGTAACACATCTGAATTTGCCTTCTCGAACATATGTAAATACTCATGATAGCATTCAGGCACAAGTTCCTTTGCTGATTTCGGCGGAGTCTCCTTAGCTTTATCCGCAGCGATCTTTGCTGAGAGATTCCACAAAGTCTTGAGTGCATGTATCATTGTTGGGCTTGGTTGCTGG